TTCTCTCAATCCAATTGAGTTACCTACTTGGCCATAGCAACGATCAAAAATATACTAATAAATTATATCAATAACTAGTAAGTACATTTTTTGATTAGACTCGACAAATAACGCCACAACAATAACAGGTCTGAGCGATACTTATGTATGTAATATAACAATAGAGACGTATGATAATCCATGATTTATGACTGATAAACTGCTATATTATCCAAAAAGGGACATGTTATAATAAATTGCGTAGCACCAATTTAGTGCTTTTCTTTTTCTATATACAAAATGTTTTTGTTAGTACTAAATGCATAGTTTTTTTTTATACCACGAAGTTGGCAAACGGGCATTCAGCCCGTCGGATTGTAAACGGTCACTGTAGCCTATGGATGCTTGCAACACTAGTGGTGTCACTTGCGCATTGTTGATCTTGAAGAAACCTTAATGTACCCTTTTTGGAGAACTCCAAACTGCAATCTCTAGGGAAAGCCTCGGCAGGTAGCACATTCTATAGCCTGAGCGTTCGCGGGAGAAAATTACTTCGAAGCCGCACTAAATATGACCATTTAGGTTCAAGCGTGTGAGGATGAATTCCCCTGTCGATGACGAAATCAAGTGAAGAAATAAATATTTTTTTCTTTTTAAAGTTATAAAAAGTAGTTCAAAAATTCCATAAGAATATATTATTAGCTGGATCTCGCGAATATGGCCGCGTGAATCAGTACGTAAAGTATCTTATGTGCTGAGTTAGCATATAACTTATCCGTATACCAAATTTTATTCAAATCCGTTCAGTAGTTTTTGTATGAAAACCTTACAACATCCATCCGGGGGAAAGGGATTGTTAGCAATGGAGTTTGACAGCCCCATTGCTAGCAATATGCCTTATTAGGTCGACCTCCACGTGGTTCCCCTGGAAACCATCGTGAACAATTCTTGTTGAATTCGTCACGATGGGCTAACTGATCTACTTCATCCTCACCTATCATCCTTCACTGGTGCCCCGCCGGTGTATACCGATAGCGCGGATAGGGTTACCATTCCATTATCATCCATAAAAAAAAACAACATCCATCGATCCATCAATATTCGCATTTACAATATTAACAGGATCATCATATCAACCTTTAACTGTTCACTGCTGAACATAAGCATCCCCTTGGGGGGGTTTTGCCAGTAGAAGCCACGGTTGCCAGCCAGATTGATAATTGCAGTTAGGCTTTTGAGATGTTTAAGAGGGATGGGCATTCCTCGTCCTCCCTTAGTCACCCCTTACGACACCCACGGGAAAGGAATGGGTGGCCTATTCTATGCCGGGACCATACGAAGATTAATAGAATAATTGTCATTAAAGACTGTAACACTGTATCCCACAATAAAACAGACTTCAATTGTGATAGATTCTATATATAAAATGCTTTCATTTTCAATAAACTGTGTGTTCAAGTGTTCCTTTTTCTACTTCCTTCATCCGTACAAAACTTTATTGGCTGATTAATTATTTGTTCAATTGTCTTACGTGTTTTTTTAACCGACTTCAAAAAGGTGGTTCACAATTCGGCGGTATTTTGTTTTATATTTGTTATCTCTCAACTCTGTCAGTTCTAAATCGAAATTGGAAAATTCTTTTTTTTTTTTAAAGAATATGGTTATTGATTGGTCCTATAGTTTTTGCGTGAAAGTTTAACAAATATCGATGTTTATGATGATTATTAATAATTGGATTGTGTCCCACAAAAAATAACGACACCAATTTTTTTTTATACCACTGAGGTGGCAAACAAGCATACGGCCCACCCGATGGTAAGCGGTTACCGTAGCCTATGAACGCCTGCAATACCAGAGGTATTACGCGCGCGTTGCCGACCCTGAAGAAACCTCTTGAAGAAAACCCCCCTTTTGAAGAACCCCATGCTGTAGTCTCTCGGGAAAACCTCGGCAGGGAGCTCATTCCATAACCTGAGTGAATTGTGACGTAATCAGTTATTTTGATCTAAAAACAATATTAGTAATATTATAACTGATTTTGATAAGACCAATCTGTAAGTAGATATATCCTTCTAGATAAACAAAGAATTTTCCACATCGGTTTAGAACTGACGGATTTATGAGGTAATAAACATAAAAAATAGATACTAAAAACCTCCTTAAAATAACCAAGACTTATGGTCCGTTTGAATAGAATTTAATGAAAATGTTGATATCCAATACTACACAAAACAAAAATTGATTTACGGATTGAATTAGTGAAGGACCGCCACTCATCCAGATGGTTGGGATGGAACTTTAGTTTGTTACAGGTTGTACGGTGGGGAAAATCAACAGCAGGTACTACTCCGAACAATTCTTCAGAGCACTCCCCAAGATAAATTCGGTAGAAAATGCACAGAGATGCAAAATCTCTATGCAGTTTCAGTGGGTCAAGTCGGACAGTAAGGCGTTGACTATCGATAATTCGAGCCGCCCGACTTTGAATGCGGTCTAACAGACGGAGCTGGTACTGTGGCGCTCCTGCCCATAGGTGAGAACAGTATTCCATATGCGGCCTGACTTGATACAACTTCAAGCGGTATTCCGGCGTAAAATACCGTCTCACTCTATTGAACACTCCTAACTTTTTGGAGGCCATCATAGGCTTTTCTTTCAGATTACCGCAAAACTAGACGTCGCTGGATATATCAACGCCAGGGACTTCTAGACTCGATTTATTATCAAGGGAAGTGTCCTGAAAGTGAGGAGATACGACAAACGGCGTCTTTTTTTACGGTGAACGCGAAAACTCGTCTCTTCTTATGGTTGAATTGGGCTCTATTGAAATAGACTATACGTGTAATTGGTCGACAATGATTAGGAGCCCTAAAACCAGTCGAGCACAACAATAAACACACGTAAGACAAACTTGTTATTTTTCAAATTAAAATATAGTGTAGATTCAGCTTATCATTGTATATGGAGGACACATGGTACTGCTGAAATTGTACGTGATGGGAGGCTGTTACGTGGTTGAGATGTTACTCAAACTAGTAGGTGTGTGATGAATTGAAAAAATTAAAACACAGACCTATAATTCCGTAAATAAACAGCATAGATGATTTGTTTACAAAATTATATATATAAGCCTGCAGTAGATTTAAAAATAAATGACAATTTAAAAGTGCTTGTAAACAAGTCTATTTGAATAAAAATGATTTGAATTTAATAATAAGTAATTACTCCAAAAATTGTTTCCTAGTCAGAGTCTGTAATATGCATAACAATCATTGTTGCCATATTGATTTATAATTATAATTGTAACATTGGTACCATATTTTATCTGTAAAAATGAATAATTAATTTCATTGTGATTCGGGCTTTTGGAATTCGGTGTTTGCTTTAACTTTCCATTAACTGTGTGTTCAAGTGTTTCTTTTTCTGCTTCCTTCATCTGTACAAATTTTATTGGCTTATTAATTATTTGTCTTAGGTGTTTTACAACCGACTTCAAAAAGAAGGAGGTTCTTGATTCGGTTGTAAATTTTTTAAGTTTGTTATCTCTTAACCCTGTCAGTTTTAAACCGGTTTGGATTTGAACTCGTTTGCTTCGGCACCTCTGTCTTATTCGTGTTTCTACCGTGAAGCAGTTGTGTTTGCATGGTTGTTTCGGTTTGAAGGGTAGGATATGGCAGTGAATTTATAGGGTACAGAGGAACAACACCTGAGTCCTCAGGGATAGCAATGCATGGGGGGTATTATGAGCGAAACAGTATACTCTATTATGTCCATGGTACTCGTTTGCCATTCTAAGTAACATAAAAAAATCCTTTAAGACGTGCTACGAAATCTAACAATGATTATTGTATTGTATTGTAAAATCTCTATTGTACATAATTTACATTGGACACACTAAAAGATTTAATATACAATGGCGGTCTTATCCCATAGAGGGATCTGTTACAGGCAACCTTTCAGATAATTTTATTGATTTAAGATTTTAAAGACTTTCGGATGAATTCGAAACAGTAGTCGGAAATGGCAAACATAATAAGTTCACAAAATTCGCGTTATGCAGACATTAGATATAAGGAAGAAAGGGATTGTTAGTAATGCGGAATACCAGTACTATTGCTAGCAATATACCCTCTCAGGTCGACCCCTGGAAACCATCGTGCTGAATTCCAGGTCTATTCACCAGGGTGGGTTAACTAATCTGCTTTTTTATTTTCACCTATCATCCCTCACTGGTGCCTTGCCAGCGTATACCGTTAGCACAGGCGGGGTTACCATTCCATTTCTTTTAATGGGTGATAATGGAATGGTAACCCCACTCGTGCTATCGGTATACACCGGCGGGGCACTATTGAAGGATGATAGGTGAGGATGAAGCAGGTCAGTTAGCCCATCGTGATGAATTTAACAAGAATTGTTCACGATGGTTTCCTGGGGGAATCACGTGGAGGTCGACCTAATAGAGCATATTGCTAGCAATAGGGCCGTCAAACTCCATTGCTAACAATCCCTTTCCTCCTGGTTACCATTCCATTGTCATCCATTAAAAAAAAAAGACATCAGATATATAGACATCGTTAAAAAATGACCAGCAGTTCTTTAAAAAATAATGACACAGGTTTTTGTTTGTCGATGTAAATTTTATAGACTTGTACAATTTACACCTGCGCACAGCAGGTATGAATCGCTAATTCCGTGTATAATGATAAACAAACATAATATAACGCATCAAAAATTTCGTAGCGTACGCAGCGAGTATGAATTTATTGTTGCTTTAGACTTAGTAAAAAAATTGTGGTAAAAACCCGTTACTTGTAACGTATGGGGTTCTTCAAAAGGTGGGTAAAGAGGTTTCTTCAGCGTCGGCAACGCGCACGTAATACTCCTGATATTGCAGACGTTCATAGGCTACGGTAACCGCTTATCATCAAGTGAGTCGTATGCTTGTTTGCCATCCCAGTGGTATTAAGAAAAGATTTATATATTAAGTAGTAATGTAGGTTACAAAAAGTTTTCTCACTCACTTCAAGGTTTTAGGGTCCGCGGTGAACTTGACTTTCTCGTTGCTGATGTAGTAGATGTTCTTGGTGATGTCCTTGGTGTGCGCGCCGCGGTCCAGACTCATCATCGCCACCGGGGCGCAGGACAGCAGTGGCCGGTACGGTGACTGCACGAAGAAGAGCGTTACATTACCATCATATGCTATTACTCTTTGCCCGCCTACTTTGTACGCGTGGATTTCAAAGTTAGACAAAATCAATGAAACAGAAGATTTGTACAAAAGTTGTTTGCTTTACCTCTGTGCCATTCATGTTTCAACCGTGAACCGTGAATGAGAAAACAATGGGCAACATTATCGCTAAAAGCGATCTCTTCCAAGCAACCTTTGGATGGAGAGGAGTGATTATAAACAGTTTGATCGGAGGCACGATTAAATTTCTAAAATATAGAGATGTGATACATGTAATAATGTATAATTATATTATTGTAGTATACAAATTTTATAAATAGAACATGCTGAAAAGGGCCAAATTAAAAATATTTACTCGTAACCGCCGAGCGTGTATAAGTTGATGAACGTGGAAGCAACGAAAAAGGTCTGTTTGAACATTTGGCGTCCCTTTGTTTCTACATACGTCAATGGGAGACATATGTGGTTATTATTATTAACTATATTATTACTAGCTGGTTATTTGAAGTTGACAAAAGAGGTTTCTTTGAATTGTTGTATTTTGCGTTTCATTGTTTCTGCCTACCCTAATGGGAGACAGGCGTGACAAATATGTATGTATGTATGTTATTTAATGTTGAGGATGGGTATGAATAACTTGAATACTTCATCTCATTTGTTTTTTATATAGGTTATCAAAGTGGGAAGGCTTTTAACAGATTGACAGATCAATGGAAAAGTGATTAACGCCATCAGTCGTTATGTCCATATCAGCCGTGTATGGACAGTTAGTCCCTTACTAAACATAGACATCTCCCATAAAGGCGCGTTTTTTTATTTGGTTCTTCAAGAAGAAGGATGTGGCAACAGCATAACGAGGAATTAAAAAAAATCTTTTCACAAATTGGCGGCAATATGTTACTTTTTCCTTTTTTCGCGATTTGGAACTTTTAAATAAAAAAAATATAAAAAATTTTTGTAGTGCTATGCTATAAAGAAGCTCTGAGCCAAATTTCAAGTGAATCGATTAAGTAAAATTTGAGATATTATGCATATTATTTTTAAAAAAGTAATTTCGAGAAAATGTGTTTAAAGTTTGGTGATTAAAAGAAGACTTAACTAAACTGAGCACTAAACAATGTAATATTTTAAGAAAATGCATTAAAACGTACACCCAAGTTTCACAAAGTAAATTTTACAGAATAAATATCGTGTACAAAAGATTATTTATAACACGGAGTCCCTTCAGGTAGTAAGATTCTGCCTACTGCCTATTGTTGATATATTCGGTCGGTTGTGAAGCTCGACAAAAAACGGTCTGGTGGCAACAACCATATTTGTCGAGCGTCACAAAATGAGCTGTAACTTAGAAAATTATTAAAATTTCGCCAAATCCTCTTAGGAACATTTTTTTAACTCAAAGGATTAAATTATACATAAAATAAAAAAAAAATAAAAAAAGATTTGTATGAATTCGTAAACCAGAATACCCCCTAGACATAGAGAAGGCATAAGTGGAATGCATAAGATTGTGTTCCATAAAAAAAAAAAAAACTATATTAACTATGGCAAAACTAGTTATTTCGATTTATAAACTAAACTTACTAAACGTTATTGATAAAATTGACTAGGGGACCAATCTGTAAGTATATGATTTCAGATAAAAAAAAAAAACTAAATCCGTTTACACTGGACGGACTTGTGACGTAACAAACATAAATAACATACATATAGAGAACTTCTTTGCGATGTCGGTTTAAAACAAAAACTAAAACTCATTTTATATTTAGATTCATTCATTTATTATAATGTATTCATGTAAGTACATAACAATGTTATTATGTACCTATAGTAAGTACATGAACCCTGTTTGGATGTAGCAAAATTTTATTGATAGGTAGCTAATATACATGCATTAATGTCAATTTAGTTGTTAGATTATATTTAATTATTTTACACCGCCAGATTGGAAGAGGACTGGTCTTTAAATATTATTTATTGATAATATTATAATAATGACCTTATTTCAAATGCAAATAATTCATTTTAGGACAAAGCATTCTATTTGCAATGAAGTGTATAGGCATAAAGTCATCCGCCATAGCCACTGTTTTGTATTTTTAGAATTGCCACTGCATACAAATATGCTAATTGATGGATTGCAGTTCCGTCGATAAATAATCATGATCGTTAGGGGGGAAAGGGATTGTTAATAATGGAGACTGAGAATCCCATTGCTAGCAATATACCCAACCAGGTCGACCTCATCGCGGTTCCCCCTGGAAACTATCATGGTTAATTCCTGATGAATTCATCATGATGGGCTAACTGGCCTGTTTTCATTCTCATCTATCACCCGTCACTGGTGCTCCGCCAGCGTATCCCGTTAGCGCAGGCGGGGCTACCATACCATTATCACTCATAAAAAAAAAAAAAATCATATTCGTTATGGTTTAATATAATAAATACATTGGCAGAATGAAACAATACCCTAGTATTAAAAAAAAAAAGTATATACCTTTTTTTTAATACAAAGACATCGTTTCATTATACCAATATATTTATTATATTAAACTACAAGAAACTTCCAATTATACAAATAAAACCGGAGTCCAGACAAAGCATAAATACATATACAACAGATATTGTACTATACTGTATTTATTTATAAATTTATCTGGCAGAGTGGTAATAACCGTACTCAATGTCGGCACGAGGTCATGGTCATTTAATTGGACATTAGTCGTTTTTCACCTCCATATGTTTTTTATAGCTCTAAAAATTTCTACATATAACAGATTCCTTTATTTTTATCTCTTTTATACAACTTAGAATGGCAAACAAACTGACGGCCCACCTGATGGAAAGTGGTAACCGTCGCCTATAGACATGAGCAGTACCATGGACATAACAGAGTATACTGTTTCGCCCATGATACCCCCCATGCGTTGCCATTCCTGAGGACTCAGGTGTTATTCCTCTGTACCCTGTAAATTCACGTCATATCCCACCCTTCAAACAGAAACACAACTATGCAATCACAACTGCTTCACGATAGAAACATGAATGGGACAGAGGTACCAAAGCAATCGACTTTTGTACAAAGTCTCCTTCAGGTGACCTCCCTTCTTTATTCTTACGTATGTTAATTAATAGAAAGGAAATAGATCAGTTGGCTGATCGTGGCGAATTTAACAATAATTAACCAAAATGGTTACCAGGTGTAACCGCGCGGAGGCCGACCAAGTATTCTATATTGCTAACAATCCTCATTACTTCTACCTCTTACCCCGATCCAGGAGGGCCCAGTTCCATAACAAAGACACATACATACTCTAAACTAAGTCGTTAATTGTCTACTGCTGAACATAGGTCTCCCGTTAAGGGGGCGTTTTGCCAGTAGTTGCCACGCCTGGCAGGCCGGTTGGCAAATGCAGTTAGGCTTTAGTGATGTATCAAGAGGGACTTTGCCATTCAATATTCGACCTCTTACTATATTCCTTAATCGCCTGTTACGACACCTACAGGAAAGGAAGGGGTGGCCCATTCTATGCCGGGACCACACGCCACATGGCAAATGTTACAAAATTCATGTTTTTACGAAATTATCACAGATAAAATATTCGATATATGGTCACATATTATATATATTATTATAGATATTTGAGATTTGATGTTAAAACTGCATGTGCAGTTGTGGTACCTGTTTAAGTAAATACCTGTCTGAGATAGAGAAGGATACAGTATAACAGATAAGCAACGGAACGCTCAATAAACAGGAATCCGGTACAAAGTCCATTGCAAATTTGTAATACATTTATTCAAAAATGACTTGTACACATTAGAAGCGTACAGTACATTTTAGCTTGTTGCGGGATTAAAATGTATTTACTAACTGGCATTTGGTCCGCTACTTCGTACGTGTGGATTGCAGTTGTAGGAAAATCAACAAAATAAACTTGTATATGGAGGAGGAGCAATGCCCTACCTTTAAATGGAAGGACCCAAGAATATTATGGCTTCTGCCCTACCAAAAAGTTCTTTTGCCCTACCTTAGCTTCTGCCCTACCAAAAAGTTCTTTTGCCCTACCTTAAACTGGGTCTTGCTACGGCCCTGGCGTATTATGATCAAACATAGATATTTATATTAGACCTACAGGAACACAACAGAACAAAACTGCATACAATTTGGCGCAGTAGTTTTTGAATGATATCGGAAAAAAATATATACATGCAAAATTTCTAAAACTTATTGTTTTGGCTTCTATTGTTCTTATTAAGGCTCCTCATATCAATTTGTCTTCATCTATCTCTCATGTACAGACTTTGTCTACTTACAATTTTATTATAGTAAGATAAGATGGACAAACATTATTTAATGTTTGCCTATTAGTAAATAGATAAGTAAATAATTTAATATTTTATTTCACAAATAATAATACATAGAAATAAATATTTAGTTCAATTGCGACGAACACTAGTAAGATATTAGTGTTTTTTTTTTTGGATGGGTGAAAATGGAATGGTAACTTTGCGCTAACGGGATACACTGGCGGAGCACCAGTGAATAGCGATAGATGAGAATGAAAACAGGCCAGTTAGCCCATCACGACGATTCAATTCACAAGGAATTAACCATGATAGTTTCCAGGGAGAAACGTGAGGAGGTTGACCTGGCTGGGTATATTGCTAGCAATAGGATTCTCAGTCTCCATTACTAACAATCCCTTTCGCCCCAGATATTAGTGTTGGGAATTAGTAGTACTTAGGATTTAAAAAAAGTAACGAATATCGATTTAGACTGAATAAACGAACGACAAAAAGCAGCCGAAAGTATCTTAGATTATGATTACCATAATCAACTTGCAGCCTTGATTATAAAAACAGGTTATTAGAAACTGCTATCCGCAGTTTGACTGTTTTGCTGTTTTACCTACTAATATTCAAGGAGAAAATGCCATCGAAAGTGGCAAATAGGCATACAGCCCATCTGATGGTGAACGATTACTGTAGACTACAAACTTTTTCATTTATAACAGTATATTTGATTTTATAACCGGATGTTGAAAGTTGGTCTGTTGTTACTAGTTTTTTTTTTTTTTATATTATTACAACGACAACACCTTTAAAGTGTTATCGACGGTCAAGGGTATCTTGCTGGAGATAGAAACATTAGCTTATACGTCATAATTATCTTACGACGTATAATTACCTAGTAGTTTTTTTAATGGGATGATAATAAAATGGCAGCCTCGTCTTGCTATTGGCTTACGCTGTCGCGGACCAGACAAGGATGGTAGCTGAAGATGAAGTCAAGCTTATTCGCTCACTGAACTGCGAGGGTTTCCAGTGTACCGGGTGGAAGCTGATAGGGTATATTGCTAAAAATGCGAACTCTATTTCCTAAAACTAAGAATCTTTCTCTCTATTTACAAACGGTCACAATTTGTCGAATTCGTTTAGCGATGAAGTAAGAATGTATGAAGCATTGTTCTGTAACCACTCCCATACATCCGGAGGGGAAGGGATTTTTAGTAACAGGGAGGTTACTCGTCATTGTTAGCAATATAGGGTATATTGCTCAGGTTGTCTTTCACACCATCATCATGGACACCCTGACAACCATCGTGGTTAATTCCTAGTATATTCGCTACAATGGGCTAACTGACCTGATTTCATTCTCACCTATTACCACTCACAGTTAAGTATAGATTCTTTACGTTAACATGGCATGCCCCTCCAACTTTTTACTTCAATATACCAGTAGCAATCCGGCCGGAGGAGCATTATATACCGCGATCAAATCTAGTAAATATTTTTACACACACATTTTTAATTCTTTGGATTATGGAGAGACGTGAGATATTATTGTAGACGATCTATACTACCCAGCGTACTTATAGCAATAATACAAGAGGAGGGGAAACGTGGAGGGATTGTTAGTAATGCGGACTACCAGTCCCATTGCTAGCAATGCACCCTGTCAGGGCGATCTCCACGTGGTCCTTCCTGGAAACTATTGTACTGAATTCCAGGTGTATTCTTTTTTTTTTTTGATGAGTGAAAATGGTATGGTAACCCCGCCTGCGTTAACGGAATACGCTAGCGGAGTACCAGTGAAGTGGGATAGATAAGAATGAAAACAAGTCAGTTAGCTCATCATGATGATTTCATCAGGAATTAACCATGATAGTTTCCAGGGAGAACCGCGAGGAGGTCGACCTGGTTGGGTATATTGCTAGCAATGGGATTCTCAGTCTCCATTAGTAACAATCCCTTTCCCCCCTATTCCAGGTGTATTCGTCACGATGGGCCAACTTACTTGCTTTTTCATTCTCACCTACCATCCATCACTGGCGCACCGCCAGCGTATACCGTTAGCGCAAGCGGGATTACCATTCCATTATTATATATTAAAAAAAGTACAGGAGGATACCATTCTATTTTCGTCTCATTAAAAGGAAGCAAGAATACAATCTGATATCAGTCTCCCTTCACCCACACGATATCCCGTTCTAAATTAAAAATATTTTATCATGATGGAAGTCGCCAATTGTCGTAAAAAAAAAGCAAGTCATTTTCTTACTATAGATTTAACCACACATTTAGCGATCCATTTTTATAAATATTCATAAACTAGGTGTCGCTCGCGGCTTTGCAAGGGTGGTGTCGTGCTTTCTTTTAATTTTAAATTACAAAAAAAAATTTCTTAGTGATTTCTTACATTATAAAATAAACGTATGTTCCAAATTTCAGCTTTCTAGACTTAGGTGTTTTGGCTGTGTGTTGATAGTCACATTAAGAATAGTATCTGCTATTTATAGAGATCAGACAGTTGGCAATTTAGTAATATAATAGTATATAAAATAAATAATAAAAAAAAGATTTATTGCAGATATAAATATACAGTCATGGGCTACAGTGATTTCAAAGTGAAATATATAAGTTGTGCCCAGCACATCAGTGTCTAAACTAGGCCTAGCCTGTATCTTAGACACTAATGCCTTCAATTAGGTACATATTTTTGTGCAGTTGTACAATAGTACAAAATTCAGTAAACAACATGTTTTATATTATTAAAATAGGGTATTTTTTTTATACCACTGAGTTGGTAAACAAGCATACGGCCCACCTGATGGTAAGTGGTTACTGTAGATGTAAGTACATAGGTATCTTTAAAATAAATGATAATATAATAAATAATAATCTTTAAAATAAATTATAATATAATAAATAATAATTTTTAAATAAAAAATAATAATTAGTAATAAATGTTATTTAAATATAAAAATCATACTCCAATAATTTATAGTATGAATAAAAAACTTTGCAATTTCTAAACCCACACATGCTGCGAGCAGTGTTATAATCAGTTACACTACCAGTTTACCAGGCATCCATATTGAAGGGAAAAATTTATTTCGAGGAAATAAAATTTAATAATATTTCTAAATGAAGTTGCTTCACTTACATTTCTATTATTTTTCACACCAACTTTGGCATTGTTGACCGTCAAGGCCACCACCGTTTTGAACACACCCATCATGGATATGCACCTGCAACATATATCACCTTGTTAAAATGACGTTTTTTTATGGTATCATAATAAAAATTCTAATGAACTTAATATGCACATGTCTGTTTAATAATATTTATTGATTCATATAATGAATGAAATTTAAAACTAAAGAGAGTACAGAAAGAAAATTCTTGTTTTCTTAATTTAAATGGCTAAGAAAATTAAAAAATATTTATACATACACTTACTGCCACACTCGATGAAGTTAATTAAATTGAAATTAATGAGATATTAGTTAATGATAATTAATTAATTGTTAATCGATATGATAATGTAAAATCTATAATAAGTTGCACATGTCTACCATTAGAAAAAGTAACTATTGTAGCCCTAGGCATTGAACACTGACTGACAATGAATGAGAAGAGATTTTTAATTACTGGATTTTTTTGGATTGATTTAATATTATTATTGCTGATTTTTTCTCACATGAAAGTACATATGAAATTAAGACTTACTATTCTACAACTATGGCTCACTAAAAAGCAGATACAAAATATATCAAAAATATTTGTTAATTTCTATGAGGAAATATTATAAAAAAGATGATAAAAAAGTCTTCTGTAATTAAGCATGTCAAATATGCTTAATTACAGAAGACTGTGTTTATAAAAGAAAATACGAAAGTAGCAAAGCAAAATTTAATGCAAAATTTAGGAAGCATAAAACAAAGGCACTTGAACAATGTAGCATCATAAGCAGAGGATCATTTTATAATTATATCCATAAAATTGAAATACCTAAATACTAATTAACCTAATGATGTCTTATGGACTCAATTGGATGAAATATGTTAGCATTGAAAAGAATGGTATGTACAGGTCAATAAAGTTTTTTATTAATCTTTAAGTCTTTACTTTTAAATATTTAAAAAAAAATATATATCCTAGTCAATAGATATCCTTAGATGTGGGTGGTACTCTAAGTAAAGAGTAGATAGACTTCTATTAAATTTGAATATAAACTTAGATTAAACTGACCTTAAGTGATAGTTTCTACAAATCTAAAAATTTGTAAAGAAATAAGATAAAATTAAACAAATTCATTTATATTTATTGTATAAGTAGTCCATTAAGAATATCCACTGACCGATTAAATAATTGTATTTGTATTGCTATGCAAGTTTAAACGCGAAATGCGACAAATTTATATTTTTTTTTATTTAGTTACGCAAGTACATTTTGTTTAAATAATTTAATTAGGCATAGCTAAAACGTTCTTATACAAGCAGTGTACCCGAAAGCCGTCATTTCTATACGTTCTACAAAAATTAAAGGTCTATAATTTAGTTACAGAACAATAACTTACCCGCTTATAAACTGACGAAATAATCAGTATTCAATATTATCGTTTATTGTCTCACAAAGAAGTTTACATTAACAGTAACACGTTTATTTCGTATAATATTTAGAATGAACTGCCGTCACTGATTGCACGCACAGTATACAAAAACTACTTATTAATATAGTTCAATGATACGATTGGTTGATACGGCTCTTGGTTTCTCAACATATATCGCCCACGCACCGTTCACGTGAAACTATAACCACAGCAAAGTTAAAGTTAGCACTTAGTAGTAGCAAAAAATTTGAAGAAGCAATAAGCTACGGGAGACAAAAAAAAATATTGACGCGAATAAATGAGTAAAAATTTAATTCAATTTCCTAACAAATAAATTACAATGAACGAAGTCAAATGAAAGGAAGAAAAAATGTTATGATTTTGGTGTCAATTGTCAAACGAAAAATCTCTATTGTCAAAAAAACTAAGGCAAATTTCAAACTGTCAAATGGATACTTTCTTTTTAATATTAGCAAAGGGCTAGTGTAACCCATTATGATATACTAACAAAAAGAAAAATAAAAACAAATATAATAAAACATTACATTATATGTATTAGTAGTCAAATATTAGGTGGGTAGTATTTTTTGATAATTACTTGCTCAATCGTAGAAAGAGAATTCCAATACTATGTAAGCATCCTATTGCAATTCTCTTTTATCTATGTGGTCAGTGCTCTCAAGTAGTGACTTTGACGTGGTTTTGAATTTTGACAGTAAAATGTTTATTTTTGACAATGACATTACCTAATATAGATAATAACCTAACTTGTTAATATTTTTATCTTTACTGATTCAAAAATAAATACAATAAAATTAATTACTACACTGACTTTTCATAATAATTAGATATTTTCATGAAATGGATAATAATGAAGGCAAAGAATTTTCCGAGATCGGTATAAAGTCATGGCTTATAAAACAACTGCACACCCTTGGTAAGAATCATAACCTTATTTCTGTATTTGTATTAATGATTTTATTTATTATAACGTTTCTTTTATTCTAATGTACAATCGCAAATATTTACAAATTCTTATAAACTTTTTCTTTTAGTTGGTAGAGATAATTAAATGCTTAATGTCCTTTATCCTTATATATATTCCTTGTTTTTTAATCAAGCATAAACAATACAATGTCGTGTCTATGTTCGTGTGTGAATCATTGGCATAGAATGGGCTACATTTTCCTTTCCCATGGGTGTCATAAAAGGCCACAAAGGGCACTTAATGGTCGAGGGATGGCATCTCTTTTGATACATCACCAAAGCTTAACTGCAGTTGCTAACTTGCTCGTCAAGCTTGGCAACTATAGACAAAACCCCTCTTAGGGGCCCATGTCTAGCAGCAGACATAGGCCTCCCCACTAAGATGATAGACATGTGATTCTACTAGTTTGTTTTTATTTAAAATTGTATGATTAATGGAAGTTGATAATCTATTTAATTATATCTTTAGTACTTCCAATACAAGCTCTGCTTAATTTGAGATTGATAGTGCTGTGTTTTTATTTATAATTGAACAATTTATTTAAAATATTTTTTTTTGTTCTGTTAAACTGTTTTGTTTGTTTAGGTATTAGGACTCCTACACCTATCCAAAAGGGCTGTTTAAGTAATATATTGGCAGGCAATGATTGCATTGGTGCAGCGAAGACAGGTTCTGGAAAAACATTTGCATTCGCTTTACCTATACTGCAGCATTTGGCAGAGGATCCTTATGGCATTTTTGCTTTGGTTCTCACACCTACTCATGAGTTGGCTTATCAGGTATTGAACATTTAGTAAAGTCCTTTACAAATTTTTTTATTCTATAGAGAAACCCCTATTTGTATTTTCACATGTATCCTTATGTTTTTTATGTATATGAGTGTGGTTAGTCTAACCTCTTGAGAAGCTTCCTTGTAGGAAGTTAGTAATATATAGCAGTATATATATTTTAAATAACAATATCTATATATTGGCACAATTATAGATATATTGAATATCAGTTCTCCAATATGTAATGAAGAACACTATTGAAATTAATATATATTTGACCAGTATGGGTGATACTGAAATGTATAAGAACTTTTTTCCATTATCAATCTGTAAAGGAAATTGATATATAGATATTGGATCTGTATTTGATACAGATCTGTGTTATATATTATATTTAGTTTTCTATATAGTATATTTATTTTATTATACAATATGTTTACAAAACTAACTGAAGTAGTTCAATAATTTTTTATTAGGCTTGGAATAATTATCAAGATGGTTTACTTCATGGAAAGTTGGAAGTGTCACCTATAAATGGGAACAGCAACAGATACCTATGTGTTGTCACTTTTGAGAATTAAGATTTGCTTTTTTTACTCTATAATTCTCATATATCATTCTTCAATCCAAAATATCCACACAAGTGTGGCAGGTAGGAGAGATATCTATGTAGATAATTTTTATACAAACTTTTCCTTGTGTAAAATTCTAGTTCTGTAGTAGGTATCTTACAATAGACATGTCCTATGAAGCTAATTATAATCTAGATGTACTGAAGCCTCAACAAAAATTAGAATTTTGAAACAAAACTTCTTTTAGATAGCAGACCAATTCAGCATCCTGGGCCAACCATTGAAACTCCGAGTGTGCATTGTGACAGGAGGATCTGATCAACTCGAGGAGTCCTTGAAGTTAGCAAATAAGCCCCATATTGTAGTGGCTATGCCAGGGCGACTGGCCGATCATATAACTGGCTGTGATACATTCTCATTGAGGAAAGTGAAGTATTTGGTGCTGGATGAAGCTGACAGGTAACAGTTGCTTTGGATCCGTTCATTTGCATCATTATGGTGTTTATTTATTTGGGATATAAACATATAGATGTACAGTCAATAGCAAAAATAGCTGATAAAATCAGAAAGCCAAAATTAAATTTTATGTAGGTAGTTGATAGTTTAAATAGGTATGTTTTTGACATCTTGGTTTACATTATTGTTAAAAAAAATTGGAGATCCCTACGATTTTCGTATCTCCAATTTTTTTCAAATAATATAAATCCTATATTATTCACTGATAATGTAGCTTTTTATAAGTGAATTATTTTTTAAATTGGTTGAATTGATCTGTGTTTAGAACATTAGAAACAAACACATGAACAATTAAATCCTTTTTTATAGTATTAGTATAGATATACGTAACCATTTTAATTTAATTCAATTTAAGAAACAGATTAATTATCCAAAAATGAAATGAAAATTGTCACAATATTGTACACCACTCTATCCATTGACATTGATGCTCCATTCCACTTTGGGTTTGCTGGAAGAGAACCCTTTTAAAGTTAAGCTTGCTTTGTACATTTAATTATCTCTCATATTTATGTATAATTAGTGTATATAATAGAGTAAAATAAAAAAAAATAAAATTAAAAAAAAAAATTAATTTCTAGGCTGTTTAGTGAATCATTTCAAGATGACCTGGAGACCATTTTCAATGCTTTACCACAAAAGAGACAAAACCTTTTGTTTTCTGCTACAATTACAGAGGATGTGAAAGAGTCAAAAATACTTCCATTGAACAAAGATGTAAGTAAAATTTATTTTATCATTATCATATCAGTCTAAGGGGGGGGGGGGGGTTTGCTAGTAGTTGCCACAGTTAGTAGAGGTTGGCAAACATAGTTAGGCTTTTAGTGAAGTTTTAAAAGGGATGTTGTTGCCCATCTCTTGATTATTAGGTTCCCTTAGTTGCTTGTTGCAACATCCACGGAAAAGGATATAATGTAAAATAAAAAATATTATAAATATACATTTAAATATAAAATATGGAATTTGTATGTTTTAACATATTGATTTTGATTTGCAATATGCATCTAAAAATTGAAATGGGACTAACACAAATTAAATCCTATTAATTTATAATATGATGGAAAGTGGTAACCGTCGCCTATAGACATGAGCAGTACCATGGACATAACAGAGTATACTGTTCCGCCCATGATACCCCCCATGTATTGCCATTCCTGAGGACTCAGGTGTTATTCCTCTGTACCCAGTAAATTCACGCCATATCCCACCCTTCACACCGCAACAGCCATACAAACACAACTGCTTGAAAGTAGAAACACGAATGGGACCGAGGTACCCAAGTAATCGACTTTTGTACAAAGTCTTCCTCTGGTATAAAATATTCATTGACAACTTTCGTCTTTTGTACGTTGCTCAAAAACACGGTGTTCTCTTTCTCTCTAACGACTGCTTACTTATTAAGATGCTTTACAAAATCTTCAGAAACTTCACATTTGGCGGGAGATTGACGACCAATTGACAGTGTCGACGCTTGATCAACGCTACGTGGTGTGTCCAGCGTACGCCCGCGACGTGTACCTCGTGCAGACCTTGCGCAAGTACAGGGAAACGAAACCTAGTTCACATATTATAGTATTCACTGATACTAAGAAGTGAGTTCTGAGTATCATCATATTTTGTCCTTGTTCCACAATTATTTTTGGGCTTAGTGTAGTATGGTTTTCTCTTTCATTCATTTTGTTTCCTATCTCGATATTCTTGCATCGTTTACATAAAATTTGGAGCGGTAAACAAGCTGATGGTCTACCTGAGAGGGAGCAGTAACAGCCTATAGACATGAACAGCGCCATGGATATAATAGAGCCTACTGGGAAGTCTATGATACTCCAAAGATTTTCATACTATTTCAAGTTCGAAATTTTTTGTCGTTTATCAAGCTATATTTTTTTGGGAAAATGTTCAGTTTAGTGGAAGAACACTCCATAATTATATGATGAGGATTATGATGCAAAATGATTTCGATTTCACCCTCACTTTTTTTTTCTTGTATGTGACTAACGCGAGAGTAGTAGTAGTAGAGAGAATGCACGTAATATACATACATACATACGGTAATTTAAGATTGTGTTCTAGAAAAAATCGACTTTAGTTGTGGCAAAACTATTTTGATTTAAAAACTACCGAACCGATTTAAATAATATCTTTTTTATGCAACTTAGAATGGCAAACAAGTTGACGGCCCACCTGATGGAAAGTGGTAACCGTCGCCTATAAACATGAGCAGTACCATGGATATAACAGAGTATGATTCCTGATACAAGATACATGATGTTACCCCCCGTGCGTTGTCATTTCTGAGGATATTCAAATTTCAATAAGAAAATTTAAATAAAAAATGTAAAATTCCTATGGAACCAACATGGTAGCATATCCTTTTAGATAAAAAAAGAAAATTTCCCAAATTAGTTTATAACTGACATAGTGAGGACTTAATAAACATAAAAAAAGTACAACCAAATTGAAACTCCTTCTTTTTAAAGTTGGTTGAATATTGTTTTTGTGTGTATATTATGGTGTATTCTGTAAATTAATTGGAAAACATCTTTCTGAACTAGCTTAATTAATCTTACAGAGAATGCCAAGTGCTGTCCATGATGCTGAACGCCATCAGCATGGACAATGTGTGCCTACATGGCTTCATGCGGCAAAAGGAGCGCGTGGCGGCGCTCACGCAGTTCAGGAGCAACCTTAAGTGCACGCTGGTCGCGACCAACGTGGCCGCCAGGGGCCTCGACATACCCACTGTGGATCTGGTGATCAATCACAAGCTGCCGCTGGAGCCCAAGGAGTATATTCACAGGTATACTAAATGCAAGTTCTTTATTTTTTTTTATACAACTTAGAATGGCAAACAAGCTGACGGCCCACCTGATGGAAAATGGTAACCGTCGTCTATAGACATGAGCAGTGCCATGGACATAAGTTCTTTATTTAAGAACATTCTTAATTTTGGCTTGACAAAGTGTTGTAATATCATAGATATTTGTCAATTTTCAAGAAGAATTTCATAGTTTTTAATATTTCTGATTGATTATTAAAAAGAATACTACAAATCTATTTTTAGCGGATTTAAAAGAAGAAGGTTCTCAATTCGGTTGTATGTTTTTTTTTCTTTTTATGTTTGTTACCTCATAACTCCGTCAGTTTTAAACTGATTTGGAAAATTCTTTTTTTATTTGTAAGGACATACAGATTGCTCTCAGAATTTTTTTTTATAAAAATCGAGTTGTTTAGTTTTGAATCAAAATAACTGGTTTTACAACATAATATAACTGGTTTCTGTGGAATACAATTATGTTATAATTAGAATGTTTTGTCACTGTTTTTCAAGTTGAGAAATTAGTGCAAAAGAAAGAGACAAAACACTTCAATAGTTAAAATAGGCTTACAAGAGGTTTGATGTATTTATGAATAAAGTGCTAATTGTTTAGTGCTTATTTCTTCTGTCTAATAACCTGTAATGTAATTATTTCCCCATATATTGATTGTTATTATCGTGTTATTTGTAACAATTTATAATAATTATATATACGCACATTTTATATTTATATGTATATTTTTATAAAATATATTTTTGCGTGTACACACATATAAATGCTCAATCTAATTGTATATTATGCATGTATTTATATGTATATGTTTGCATCTATATATGTTAGTCGAACACACCAGAGGGAGACTTTGTACAAAAGTCGATTGCTTGGGTACCTCTGTCCCATTCGTGTTTCTACCGTGAAGCAGTTGTGTTTGCATGGCTGTGTTTCGGTCAGGGTACAGAGGAATAACACCTGAGTCCTCAGGAATGGCAACGCATGGGGGGTATCATGGGTGAAACAGTGTACTTTTGTATGTCCATGGTACTGCTCATGTCTATAGGCGACGGTTACCACTTTCCATCAGGTGGGTTGTTTGTCTTGTTTGCTATTCTAAGTTGTATAAAAAAAAACATAATATACCATACCATAAATCGTTTTTCTGAAATACATGATACAGGCTTGCATGCCTAGCGTGTAATTTGTAGAGTTAATCATCCATGTAAAAGTGTTTTGTCAAATAAATATTCATTCAATTTTCATATAAATATAGGGTGGGGCGAACAGCGCGTGCCGGCCGAAGCGGTATGGCTATATCTCTCATCACTCCGTACGACATACTGCGGCTCGGCGAGATCGAAGCTGAAATCAAGACGAAACTCACAGAATACAAGATCGATGGTAACTAAGGACATTGACAATATTTAAATATAATTAACATTTTACATACTTATAACCGTGTGGCTCCGGGGGGAAAGGGATTGTTAGTAATGGAGACTGAGAATCCCATTGCTAGCAATATACCCAACCAGGTCGACCTCTTTGCGGTTCTCCCTGGAAACTGTCATGGTTAATTCCTGATGAATTCATCATGATAGGCTAACTGGCCTGTTTTCATTCTCATCTATCACCCTTCACTGGTGCTCCGCAAGCGTATACCATTAGCGCAGGCGGGGTTACCATACCATTTTCACCCATAAAAAAACCGTGTGGTCCAGGTATAGAATGTACCATCTCTTTCTTTCCCGTGGGTGTCGTAAGAGACGACTATGGGAGCGTAATGGTCGAGGGATCGGTAGCAGTGTCACTCTTAAAATATCACCAAATCCTAACTGCGGTTGCCAATCTGCATCCGTTGCTAATCCACCTGTCAAGAGTGGCAACTACTGGCAAAACCCCCTAATAAGGGGAGGCCTGTATGTGCAGTGGGCTGTTTTTTTATGGGTGAAAATGGTATGGTAACCCTGCCTGTGCTACGCTGGATACGCTGGCGGAGCACCAGTGAAGGGTGGTAGATGAGAATGAAAACAGGCCAGTTAGCCCATCATGATGAATTCATCAGGAATTAAACATGATAGTTTCCAGGGGGAACCCCGCGAGGAGGTCGACCTAGTTGGGTATATTGCTAGCAATGGGATTCTCAGTCTCCATTACTAACAATCCCTTTCCTTCCCACAGGGGATACTAACTCGAGGACTAGGTGATAGGATTGTACGGCATTTATTTAATTTCATAATTCCCTTTATGTTTACAGATGATGAAGCGGTGAAGGTGTTCACCACAGTGAGCGTGACCCGCCGCGAGCAGGAGGCGCAGCTGGACAACGAGGAGTTTGAACAGCGCAAGAAGAACTACCGCATCAAGCGATGGATACAAGCGGGCGTTGACCCCGATGTGATGGAGGAGGGGTGAGATTCCAATACAATTGTAAATAGATCCCACCGAGCATATCGCACAGCGCCATCTAGTCAGAAACTAAGCAGAACTATTGCTATGGGTACTAGACAATTGATAGAAAGCCATTTTTCTCCGGAATCGTCAGTTATAAACAGATTTGGAAAATTTTTTTCTATCTGATAGGATATATTTAAATATTGGTCTCATAGAAATTTTATCAAAATTGGTCTAGTAGTTTAGGTATTAGATCGAGATAACTGGTTTTGTCACAACTGGTTTGTTTTTTGTTTTTAAATTATAAAAGCTCCTATTACATTCAATTATCATAATCTTGGGTCCTCAGGAATGGCAACGCTTGGGGAGTATCATGGGCGAAACAGTATACTCTGTTATGTCCATGGTACTGCTCATGTCTATAGGCGACGGTTACCACTTTCCATCAGGTGGGCCGTCAGCTTGTTTGCCATTCATTTAATTATTTGCACTTTATTGTACCATTTATAAATAAATACAGTATATTTTAATGAGATGTGATACAAAAAGGTGCCCATAAGTATCATATAAAAATATTCAAAAAAATTTCAACAGTTTGGAAGAAATGCGTCGGAAACGTATTAAAGCAGCTAAGAAGGCTAAATTGGCTAGAATAAAGCAGATTCAATCTAAAATGAAGGAGGATACGGAACAGAGAGACAACCGGTTGCAACAGAGCGAGACGGAAGATGGCGATATTGATGCATCAATAAAGGATGGAATGAAAAAAGTCAATAAAAGTTTAATGAAGAAAGATGACAGATTCAAGAATGTGATAGGAAAGATAAGTAAAATAAAGAGGAAAGCGAATACTGTTAAAGAAATAAAGACAGAAAACATGCCAAGAAAGAAAAAGAGGAAAAATGTTACAGTTAATTAGGTTTTATTAAATATTTATAGATTAAAAAAAAAGTAGTTTTTTTTAGTGCTACGACAACTAGATAACTGATATACTTATTTCTTTTTGTTAAATATAAAAATTTTTTTACAACATACGTGCATACATCTTACCACAGACTAAATAGTCGGGGGGGGGGGGAGATTGTTAGCAATAGGGCTGCCATTGCTAGGAATATACCTTACCAGGTCGACCTTCCATCATGGTTGATTCTTGTGGAATTTATCACGAGGAGTTAACTGATCCGCTTCCATCCTATCCATCTTCCACTGGTGCCTCGCCAGTGTATATCGATACCGCGGGTGGGGTTGCCATTCTATTTTCGCCCATAAAAAAATAGAGATACTACGTATTTTTGCTTAAAAAAAAATTCAGTCTTACTCAAACATATATACATATAAATACAAAAATAAACATTTATTCAAGTGGGCTATGAATTCGCGACCTTTGTACGTCTGCCACTGTTTATATAAGTACTTACTATAATTTACAGCAACGAGTGGAAAAATGAAACACCAATATTAAGGTTGATAATAATTTATTATTATACATTGTAAAATTACAAATAAATACAACAATAATATTTTGTTTATTACAATATAAGCAAATTTTGTCGATGGCAAATAATTTGGCACAAATTTAGCCGAGAAGCTGATTTGGGTTCGCTCTTAATCTGCTTCACTCGTGTGATTATCTTGAATAGTGTAAATTTTAATTGAGATCTTTTTATATGTAATATTAGATACTACTTTACACTTGATATTTGCTCTAAATATTTTACTCTGTAAACATTACAAGTGATAAAAATATTGTTATCATATATAGCTTAACAAATGTATGCACGGTATAGCTGGGGAGTGAGAGAGAGGTTGGGTTGTAAATGGGACTGTTTATTATTTTACCGGTGAAACAGAATGTTATTACCAAAGAAACGGGATGAAAAACAATGTCAAAATAGTATTAATATGCTCAAAACTTTTTATTTATTAGTGGCATAATGGGCAACACTAAAACCACAAAAATTAGTTTGGGGGGAAAGGGATTGTTAGCAATGGAGTTTGACAGCCCCATTGCTAGCAATATGCCCTACTAGGTCGACCTCCACGTGGTTCCCCCTGGAAACCATCGTGAACAATTCTTGTTGAATTCGTCACGATGGGCCAACTGATCTGCTTCATCCTCACCTATCATTCTTTACTGGTGCCCCGCCGGTGTATACCGATAGCGCATATTACTATTCTATTATCACCCATTAAAAAAAATTAAAAAAAATACCATAAAAATTATATAAAAAAAATCCACGTTTCTTTTGGAATAATATTCAATTACACTGCTAGAACACACCTTTTAAAAAGACGCTAATGAATCTGTCTACACTTATTTGTTACACAGTAAATAATTATTTTTCTTTTTCATTATTTGTTTACATTTCTCTTAAAATATCTTTTATAAACAGATAGAGAAGTAAAAGTGAGTTATTAACATCAAGTCAAAGCCAATGAAGTAACTTCACTCCAGCTAATTCAAGATAGTCACACAGTAACGACGCTGTTACAATTAACTTTAAGCCATTATCCAATAGATTTCGTCTACATCCGATAAGCAGGTGAGTCTACGTACCAATGCTAGCTTTACTATCACTACGTGCCAAAACATAGACCTGTGAAGACGAGAGATCTTCCATCAAACATATACATAGTGTATAAAATTGCAGATAATTTACTACAAGTTACATACATGTATAAAAGATTATTTTTGCTTGTTTCGAAGTCATAACCACCATCAAAATACATGTCTTATTTTATACCACGAAAATGGTAAACAAGCATATAGTCCGTCTGATGGTAAATGGTCACTGAAGCCTATTAACGCCTGCAACACTAGGGGTGTCACGTATTGCCGATTCTGAAAGAAAACTTAATACTTCCTTTTTAGAAAAATGCCATACCGTAGTTTCTAGATAAAACTTCGGCAGCGAGTTCATTTCTCGAGCGTTCGCGAGAGGAAACCCCTCTGAATGCGCATTCTGTGACCATTTACATTCTAGCGTATAAGAATGAATTGTCCTACCAATCAATGGCGAGCAATGCCATAATAAAAGGTGGCCGATCATATTTCACGACATGTATTTTGATGGACACTGTGATTAAACTTGTTACAGACTCTTATATAGTTATACAACGAAACTAGAGCCCTATAAAGTACGCCGAAGGTTGTCCCTCGTCATGTAGACCCTAAATTAAACTATACAGAACTGGGTGGCCGCAAACATAGCACCTCTAGGAAACTTATAGAATATAAATCAATACATAAACAATAAGCGATTTACATTAATATCACAATTTTTTCTTAATAGGGAGCAATGTTTATGTTATTGCACCAATCAAAAAAAAAAAACTTACATTGTTTTCATATCTGTGAACATCTGCTAAAAGCTTATAAAAATACTTGCATGCATTCGATACGTTATAAACGAGGGTAAGACCATAACATATAGCAACCCAGTATTTGGTGTCAACTATACACTTGTCTCTGATTTCTACAATCGGCTAAACGAATTCTTTAAACTATCGTTTATGCTCACTTTTATACTTTAACCGAGCAGTAAGTACTATATATTTGTCTCAACTTCGTGTACAATATAGTATATCTTATGTATGTGTAAGTATATTTGTTATTTATATATATTTACATACATATCTGCCACGAATGTCTCCCATTAGGGTAAGCAGAAACAATGGAACGCCAAATGCTTAAGTTTGCTTATATAAATATATATAAGTATTCGTTTATATATGTAATTTTAGTATGTATGTATATCAATAATTAGTAGTACCGCATTCGAGTATTCTGACACTTCCCTAAGGTTAAATGGGAGAGTATGCTTATAATGAATAAATAAATATACCCCCCCAAAGAAATTCAATTAATAGTAAGTAAAGCGATACAAGATTTGATCAACAACTTGCTAATAACACGACGATGAACGATGACGCGAACTTTTGGCCAATTTTAATAACAATAAAAATGTATTTGCCTGTTAATATTGCATTTTCAATTAACTTGGCTGTTTCGTCAAGGCGACGCCATGCAAATATACAATGTCTGTTACCATTCAAAAATTAATATTGAAAATAGTTCAGATAATAACTAAAAATTTAGTTATAATATGAAATAATAATTAAATTTGATCGAGTATTTTGAAATAGTTCTACAGTTAAGGAAATCTTTCATGTCGCAAAACTCTTTGTTGTTCAATACGATTGTTGCTAAATATGTTAAGCGTCATTTGTTACGCTTAATTTTTTTGCTGGTTACTTGATAAGGATTATTTTGTTTAATTCTTTTTTTTTTTATATAACTTAGAATGGCAAACAAGCTGACGGTCCACCTGATGGAAAGTGGTAACCGTCGCCTATAAACATGAGCAGTACCATGGACATAACAGAGTATACTGTTTCACCAATGATACCCCCCATGCGTTGCCATTCCTGAGGACTCAGATGTTATTCCTCTGTACCCTGTAAATTGACGCCATATCCCATCCTTCAAACCGAAACACAGCTATGCAAACACAACTGCTTCACGGTTGAAACACGAATGGGACAGAGGTACCCGAATATGGCGTGAATTTACTGGGTACAGAAGAATAACATCTGAGTCGTCAGGAATGGCAACGCATGGGGGGTATCATTGGCGAAACAGTATACTCTGTTACGTCCATGGTACTGCTCATGTCTATAGGCGACGGTTACCACTTTCCATTAGGTGGACCGTCAGCTTGTTTGCCATTCTAAGTTGTATAAAAAAAATATAGTAAACACTTTTCATCGTCGACCCGAGTCCCTTGTTGTAAATATTATTGCGTAGTGAATGCTTATGGCTAACTTAATCTAATAGTCGCGGTAAAGTCGAATCGTACTATTTGTTGAATATGTCTAGAGACATAAACAACATACTGGCCACCGAGTACTATATAGTTGGTAATAAAGATTTTACGCTGCCTTCAGATACAAAATGCATTGCGGACTCCTCTGGGCACTTATATACTGCATGGGTATATAAGATTATTTTACGGAGATTTATTTTGGGAAAATTATTTTTATCTATGAAATACATGATATAAAACAACGCTCGAAAGGATACTTGGCATCAAAACTCTAAAACGGAAATAATCTCTTTACTAGAAAGATATTGGTAGGCGTGATTGCTTTGTAAGCGAATTTAAATATTATTGTTATATATATATATATATATATATATATATATATATATATATATATATATATATATATATATATATATATATATATATATATATATATATATATATATATATTATATATTTAGATATATGTTTTGTATATTGTTAACATTAATGATTAAATATAAAAAACATGTTAATGTGGAATCTATAAAAAAATAAAGAGACAAAGTACATTGCTTTAAGCAAATTTAGGATATTATATTTTTCTAAATACGAGTCGTACTTGACTAGAACACAGGAATTCTAGTCTGAGATTATTTCAAATGATATTGAAAAATAATGATATACTTTTCAAACTGTATAATGAACAATATATGCGAAATTGTTCTGAAGTCAGCGTAAAAACCATTTTTTAAAAAGTTTACGCGCAACATTTGCACTTAACACTTTTTTTTATATTTATAAATAAATTGGCTAACAAGCATACGATCCGCCCGATGGTGAGCTGTTGTAAAAACGGTCGTATCGCTAGAAGTAATCTTTCAGTAAGACTATCTTTGGTCAGAAGCGACAACCGGTGGTATGTGTGTAGCGATATGGTATACAAATTTAATTCAGAAATATAGATTAATCGAAGCGATAAACCGCTCCGTGATTACGTTTTATGATGTTAAAATTTTGGGTCGCATTACCCAATATGATAGTATTGTTTAGTGTATTCCAATATACGCAATCTGTCGAAATAAATTATTTACCTTTAAAGCAAGAACAACTCTGGATCGTGGGCCCTTAACGCCATAAGGCTTTTATACAAAGTCCGGTTGAGTGCAAATGTTGCATGCAACAAAAATGGAGGACAGGCAATCAGAAATATTCAAACCTTCATTAAGTCATTGTAAGATTCGATAATTTTGATTGCTCGCCTATCTAAATCGTCTATACAGTAACAATGTAATTTAACTACAATATAATATGTAATGGAATAACAATTTTAAACTAAATGTTTGGTGTTGCCAATCGTTAAAAAAATCCATTGTGAGCAAACGAAATATAAATGTCAAATAATTAAAAATATCAATTGTAGGTATTACAACTCATGGTTTCAGTTATATTATAATTTTGAACAGCTCCCTAGACAATGTAGACTTCCAATATCGTGAAAGTAAATATATCTAGTTTTGTTATAGCTTTGGTCAAAATGTGTCAATTCTAATTTGAACTTTTGTACTTGCAATATTGCTAACAAAAATATACTTTGTTTAGAGAGGCAGCTACTGATTAGGGTAAATTTGATTAAGAGCCCTTATTGCTAAAAATAGGGAATCTTACACAGAGCTCCGAAAGATGGCGCCATTAGAAATCTACTGACAAAGACTGACTTTACAAAACAATTTTATAACGACAAAAAACAAAAAGTTTTTATATATATATTTTTTTTTAATAATTTAATTTTCCGCCCAAAAGTAGAGACAAAGATTGTTTATAGCACAGTAGCGCCCTCATCGGAATAAATTGGCAATAAGCTTCCGTATAGAAACGAAAAAGCATAATGAACTATCTCAGTCATAACACCCTAATGGCAATATTTCAAAATCTCAATGTATCATTTAATAAAATATAATATACGACTCCATTACACCGCGTGAAGACTAATACATTATTAATTTTATTTATATTTAAGTGTAAAATATGTTTAAATATTTTAAAATGCATTTCTCTGTACATAGATAAATGATTTTATACAATAACGCTTTGAAATGTAGTTTATGGATGATAACGAGGCTGGTAAGCTTACGATATTGAAGTACATGACATTTTACTGTGTTGTTATTTAGGGATATCCATTAATTATGTGAGGACTTTTCTTCAGGAAAGTGGGAGAACATGGTCCAAATATAAGGGTTGCCATTACAGAAATTTGTATTATGTTGGCAATTGTCGGCTTAATAGCTATAACCCTTTTGGACACACTTTGTCTTGTTAAACCCCACCTCTGCCCCTTACGGGAGTTTTACCAATGAATCATCATAAAATTAAGAAAACATGCTACTTCCAGAAGTCTCCAAAAACCCATGGAAGTGATGGGGGGAAAGAGATTGTTAGTAATGGAGTCTAAGAATCCCATTGCTAGTAATATATCCAATCAGGTCGACCTCCTCGCGGTTTTCCCTGGAAACTATCATGGTTAATTTCTTATGAATTTATCATGATGGGCTAACTGGCCTGTTTCCATTCTCATCTATCACCCTTCACTGGTGCTCCGCCAGCGTATACCGTTAGCGCAGGTGGGGTTACCATACCATTTTCACCTAGCAAAAAAAACCCATGAAAGTGTAGTTTGTTTCAAAAGAATTCAATGAAAATATAAACAAATGATTGAGTCAATTAATTGATGCTTCGATTTGTTAGTAAATTCATTTAAAAGGTATTTCTGTTTCTTGTAATTCTATTGAAATAAAGTATAAATAGAAGTGCTTTCTAGTTTGTAAAGATGTATTTCAGACTGCACTAATTGCCAAGAATTTACATCAACAGAATTACTGTAAAGTATTTAAATGAAATCAATTTGTTGCATCAATGTTTCATGCAACAAATGCATGTAACATTTGCTTAGTTCAATAAGTAATACAGTGAAATAATAGGTTTCTTTTTTTCTATACTGGCACGACATATTGACTCTACAGCCACCTGATGGTAAGTGCTTATGAAAATCATCTGTGTGGGCTGCAAGTCCAAATGCAAGATTGCATCTATCCTGCGGCCTATACTATGCTGGCTTATACACTTTTTCACGCCTCTTTTGAAGAAACCCACTTCTACTTGGTAGGATACACAGATCACAGAAGACAATTCCATAATTTGATGGTTTAACAAAGGTAGGGGCTGTAAAATTTTTTGGAATACAAAGTTGACAAAAAATTTTCATTGCCTTCCATCTTTATAGATAAGACAGGGTAAGTTCTTAGTTTTTGGACAGACCCCTCCCCTCTCCACCCACGTATTTTAAGTTCACGTTATAATGGATGCCCCTATACAATTATAATAATTAATGCAGCTGGGCACGAGTTTTTGTTTCCCATAGAAAAGCTTAAATGTATGACCGTACAAAGTTCTTAGTATAATATGAAAATCTGAAACGTAAATGTCATAGTACCTCTAAGCAATATAGGAGTGTAAACCGTCGCTGTACGCCATTAGTGTTGTTATTCTGACATTTGAAGCAGCGAGTTGATCGTGGCGTCTTTGTTGCCGTGGTTCGCCTCCAATACAGACTTTATCACCTCCTTGTCCATACTCGGGAACATTTCTTCGATCTGCCGATGCAAATTTTAATAATATTGAGGTTCATTTGCTAAGAATCTTTTGTCGCGCGCGTGTGGGTACGAGTGCGTGCGTGCGTGTGTGTAAGCGTGAGCGTGCGTGCGTGTGTGGATAAGCATGGATAGTGTGTCTGTGCATGCGCGTGTGCGTGTGAGAGCATACGTGTGCGTGTGCGTTAGCGAGAGCGTGCGCGTGCGTGTGTGTGTGGACAAGAATGGATAGTGGCGTTTTGATATTAATATTAAAAGGTTCTAATTTATTTATCATTTTTGAAATTATGATTCATAAATTCTCTGTACTGTATATTATCTGTAATCTACCCATCTTGTAGATAGAATATGTTCTATCTACAAGATGGGTAGACTATTTTGATAGAAAAAAATCACTGTAATAAAATGACGTATGATGGCCGTGGAGTTTTAGTTTATATGAGTGAAAAATAAGTTCAGTAGGTTACCTGTTGCAGTTGTTCCGCAGTGATAGGTGGTTGTTGCAACGGTTGCTGCTGCGGTTGCTGATGCGGCTGTGGTTGCGGGTACGCTTGTTGCGCGGGGTACATCGGCATCGCCGCGTATCCACCCATGCCCGTGCTGGGCACCACCAGGACTGGGGGGAACGCCGTCACGGGCGCAGGGCCAACCTAGTGTTTGCATATAGTTAGTTTTATGATATTTATATAGGCGAAGTTACCATTCCATTTTTTTCCCAAAAAACCCTTTGACCTGAAGTAGGCATCATATAGCATACTACATACATAAGTTCCTACACAGTTCTGCATAGGACGGAATAAGAATACCAATTATGCTAACCAGGATATTTCTAGAATAGATTTTGCCCAAAATACTTTATATCAACCGCATTACCGACCAGAATGGTATTAGTTGCTCATATATCGCAAGACTACTAGTGGGACGTTAATAGAACTTATGAACTCCGTAGACGGTCAAGCGATTTGGCTCAAACACTCATTTAATACCGCTTGCATGTTAAAATAAAGCAGCTTACTCTCTAACCTTCGAAAATAGAATACGTAATAAAAAGAAACGGCAATAGATATGATTAATAGAATAGTTGCGCTTAACTCCAGCCGCTTGATCGTCTACGGACCTCATTTTTGATGAAGACACACAAGTAATGTTCCACCACCGAAAATAAAAAAGACAACACAAAAACCATCGTCGAAATTAAGATTTACATACTATTCGCCTTTGCACTACACGTGAGCAAGCAGTCCTGACAATCTGTGAATAGATTTTTCAAGCTGGAGTTGCTAAGAACTTGTACACGTAAACTTTAGATTATATAGATAGAGCATCGAGTCTCAAAAACGGGTCAACTTTTAATTAACTAATTGTTAAATTAGCTGACTCGTTTTTTTTATCAGTGTTCTATATACTTACGCATACAATGTATCTTGACATATTATTTAATAAATAAAATAATTTTTTGCACATTAAAAAATTTTAGAAATAATAATTAAATAATTATATATAATTAAAATAATTAATAAAAAATAAGACAAAATAAATGTAGAAATTATAGAGGAATAACTACTAACTACTTATCACGCAAAATTGTATGAAAAAGTTGACACGCTTTTCTCGAAGCGTTTGTATGGAGACATTCTATCTATATAATCTAAGACGTAAATATAAAAAAACTACTCATATAAAAAAAATTAAAATATAGAAATTGACAATATAAAAGAACTGATAAAGTAACATGAAAGTTTTTTAAATATAAAAAATAACATATAAGTTAGAGCGAGATAGATAGTGATTCACATACACGTTAGGTGACTGTAGACAATTTGTGAAAGTTATAGATAAAAGAAATTCAGATTATTTTTGCATTATGTAATGTAATATAGTTAAAGTAAATTTAATTAGTTTTCATGTGGGTATTAGAATATAACAAGGGCGCGAAACGGACTCCCCACCCCCAGCCTCTGTTCTTGGGGGCCTCTAACATCTCTATTTTCCTCGCCCATAACAATATTCTATATATGTTTATTCAAGTCTAATTTAAATATAACTTGCAAGATTTTAACTAAATAAAACACAAATGAGAACTGTATAAACCGTATTGTAAATTTACATCAATTTCTTAAACTAAAGGCCTTATTTAGCTTTGCTTAACGCCGAGTCCCTGACACTGTTATATTAAGTTTTTTTTTTATACAACTAAGAATGGCAAACAAGCTGACGACCCACCTGATGGAAAGTAGTAACCGTCGCCTATAGACATGAGCAGTACTATGGACATAACAGAGTATGCTGTTCCGCCCATGATACCCCCCATGCGTTGCCATTCCTGAGGACTCAAGTGTTATTCCTCTGTACCCAGTAAATTCACGCCTTATCTCACCCTTCAAACCGAAACACAGCCATGCAAACACAACTGCTTCACGGTTGAAACACGAATGGGACAGAGGTACCCAAGCAATCGACGTTTGTACAAAGTCTCCCTCTGGTGAGTGCTCCTTAAACGTTCATCTCTTTAAATGCATCATTTTAGAACTAAAGTTTTAAACAAGAAATCCATTAAATGTCCTGAGTCGCCTCTTATGGCATATAGGGGAAAGGAAGGGATGGTTCTTTCTATGCCGGGACCATACGGCACTTGTATACTCACAGTGTAACTCAGTACGAGATTGATCATGCCCTCCATGCCGTCTCCTTGTTTACCATTGAGTGGAAACCAATCTTCGTGTGTCTCGCCCTGTAATTGTCAAATCCACGTTACCAGTGAAGTAATTATTATCTTGTTGTATTACCTGTCCACTGCTGGACATAGCCTCCCCCATAAGGGGGTTTTGCTAGTAGTTACCATGATTGGCAGGTGGGTCAACAACTTTTTTATGCTACTTAGAATGGCAAACAAGCTGACGGCCCACCTGATGGAAAGTGGTATATATATGAGCCGTCACTTATAGTATGAGCAGTACCATGGACATAAAAGAGTATACTGTTTCGCCCATGCGTTGCCATTCCTGAGGACTCGAGGTGTGATTCCTCTGTACCCAGTAAATTCACTGCCATATCCCACCCTTCAAACCGAAACACAGTCATGCAAACACAGCTGCTTCACGGTAAAAAACACTAATGGGACAGAGGCGCTTAAGCAAACGACTTTTGTACAAAGTCTGCCGTTTGTATTTCATAGAGCTTAGTGTATATTTATTGTATGCTCGTTCGAATTCAGTGCATGCGCCAGTGCACCAGTTGACCTCATTTCACAGAAAAACCCTTGCATTGAATGGTTAAATGCGGTTTTCACTGTTGTGTTCATGAAAATCTAACTTAATTAATGAATGAATGAATGAGTATACTTTATTTGCATTATACAATATAGGAAATAAACAAGACAATTTACAAACACAACGATACAATTGTATAAGTACAGTAAGGCGGTCTTATTGCTGAGAGCAATCTTTTCAAGACAACCTTAAGGGAATGGACTAATTGTTGTACAAGTAGGTATAATAATGCTTTATAATTTAAAAAGCATCTTTTGCAAATTAAAAATAATATAATATCTGATTAATGTTTTATCTTTATAAGCCATATATGTTTGTAGGAAGCTTTGTCTTTTTACGAATAAGGAGGTAAATGTAGAAATATATACGTACATTGAGCACCGCCGGTGGTATGGTGATGTGGGCCCACGCTATCAACTCGTCCATTGTGAAGGAGCACTCGTCGAAGATTTCCAGGTATATGGAATTAACTCCGGGTGGTAACAGACTGCAAATTGTTATTATTATATATAAGATAAAACTAAAAACTGTTGCTTCCTACCGCCACATACTGGCGCCTATGTAATTCTCCCCATCACCCGAAGGCTGTACTGCCTTTATTTTTATGTTACTAGTATCAAGTAATTATGTTTAAATAGCTGTTTCAGTATCTCTGTCCCATTCGTGTTTCAACCGTAAAGCAGTTGTGTTTGCATAGCTGTGTTTCGGTTTGAAGGGTGGGATATGGCGTGAATTTACTGGGTACAGAGGAATAACACCTGAGTCCTCAGGAATGGCAACGCATGGGGGTACCATGGACGAAACAGTATACTCTGTTATGTCCATGGTACTGCTCATGTCTATAGGCGACGGTTACCACTTTCCATCAGGTGGACCGTCAGCTTGTTTGCCATTACAAGTTGTATAAATATATATAGTATATGTTATATATGTGTAAGTATATTTGTTATTTATATATATTTATTCGTTTATATATATAATTTAAGTATGTATGCATATCAATAATTACTAGTACCGCGTAATTACTAATAGTGACTGAGGGAGAATGCTTTTAGCATTAAGTCCACCATGTACACATATATGTACTAATGAATAAATAAATAAATAGGCGACAGATGCTATTACAACTTGCATAAAATAAACCTATGAATATATTTCCATACACAACTGACGAGTCATACAATTGATGAATCAACACTAACTTATAACAATAGGCATTACGATAAGAGATATCACTAATGTCTCATTTTTATCAGTGACCGTTCCTAAAAACAAAGTTATCTAGTACTCACAACTAATATTTGATAAGTATTTTAATTTATCATAATTATGGAGCCATAACTATGTTTATGCGTACGGTACAATAAAATTGTTGGTTTACTAAGAAATTTAATTATTGTTAATTTAGTACTGCACGTACTAGGTCAATGTATCGCCCCATCAGAGGGAGACTTTGTACAAAAGTCGTTTGCTTGGGTACCTCTGTCCCATTCGTGTTTCTACCGTGAAGCAGTTGTGTTTGCATGGCTGTGTTTCGGTTTGAAGGGTGGGATATGGCGTGAATTTACTGGGTACAGAGGAATAACACCTGAGTCCTCAGGAAAGGCAGCGCATGGGGGGTATCATGGGCGAAACAGAATACTCTGTTATGTCCATGGTACTGCTCATGTCTATAGGCGACGGTTACCATTTTCCATCAGGTGGGCCATCAGCTTGTTTGCCATTCTAAGTTGTATAAAAAAAGAAAAAAAACGACTCCCAACAATTATCATCACTTCAAACTTTGATTGCTTATTTTTAAACAAAGATCTACTATGAAATATAGATAAAAAAATCTTTATTCTTTGTTGTACACAAACATAACGTTAAGGACAATTAATTTTCAACGTAATGTACATAGGCGATCTTTATCGTTTCTTCCAAAAGATTGCAGTAATCTTTATCATCATATCAGCCGATAACTGCCCACTGTTGAACACAGGCCACCCCCTAAGGAGAGTTTTGCCAATAGTAACCACACTCGGCAAGTGGATTGGCAACTGTAGTTAGCCTTTGGTTATTAGGCTTATGTAATAAGCCTAACTGCGGTTGCCAATCCGCCTACCGAGTGTCACAACTGTTGGAAAACCCCCCAAGGGGAGGCTTATTTTCAGCAGTGGACAGTAAAAGGCTGATATGATAATGACGATGTATGTTTTTATGATATATGTATATTTGTATATACATACATACATACATATCTGTCACGCCTGTCTCCCATTAGGGTAGGCAGAAACAATGGAACGCCAAATGCTTCGATTCAAACAAACCTCTTTCGTTTCTTCCACATTCATCAATCTTGTCATACACGCTCGTCGGTTACGGGTACTTGTATATGTAAACAATATTTGTTTAATGTACTCATGTATGTATATTTATATAATCATAATGCGCAGTAATTTTCCATTGTATATATCATATAATTTGTAAGTCAATATGGATACGTCTGTAACTGTTTAACTATAAAAATTTTGAAATTTTCACCAGCTAATTACATTTCTGTTTTGCCAAAGGTTGACTGCGAGATAATGCTATATAGTATTAAGTCCGCCTTTTTTACCAAACATATTTTTGTAATGTGGTCAATAAAGAATAAATTAATAAATATAAGTAATATATACTCAAAAAATCATTACACGTTTATCGTTTTTTTTTTCTGATGGGCGAAAATGGTATGGTAACCCCGCCTGCGCTAATGGGATACGCTGGCTGAACACCAGTGAAGGGTGATAGATGAGAATGAAAACAGGCCAGTTAGCCCATCATGATGAATTCATCAGGAATTAACCATGATAGTTTCCAGGGGGAACCGCGAGGAAGTCGACCTGGGTATATTTCTAGCAATAGGATTCTCAGTCTCCATTACTAACAATCCCTTTCCCCCCATACCTTTATCGTTGAATCTCGAATCAAAGTAAGAAGATGCAATTGCAGTTGTACCCATTTGCATTTTGTTAAGAGAAGGACTGGCTGAGAGCCAGCGCTGTACAGCTGTACACATTGCACTAGGACACTCATAGCATCAGCTGATCCGGTTCCTTTTTAACCGACTTTAAAAAAGGAGGAGGTTTCTCAATTCGACCGTATATATGTTTTTGCCTATTAAGAGACACTTCTTATATGTATGTATTTTCTTTTGTAATTGTGTTTTTCTGGCAATAAATATTTTCTTTCCTATTCTATTCTAAATACTCACCAGTGCACAACTTTATTCCACCTTGGCGTCTTCCCACCGCTGGGGTCAGTGTGGGTCTCGTATATACAGTGTCCAACTCGCATCCGTACGTATGGATCCATTCTGGTGAGTCCTATAATGAATTACATGATATCAGGTATATATATATAGCGAAACTACGAACATAGTTCTCTCCTTAACCGAGTGACTTTTCGTGATAGAAATGAAGAAATTCATAGAAGAAACAAAGTGAATTATATATATATTTTTATACAACTTAGAATGGCAAACAAGCTGACGGTCCACCTGATGGAAACTGGTAACCGTCTCCTATAGACATGAGCAGTACCATGGACATAACAGAGTATACTGTTTCGCCCATGATACCCCCCATACGTTGCCATCGACGCGGTACGGGTTGATCTTTTCTTATCGGGATAAAAAGTAACCTAATAATATCTCAAGTAGGTTGTTGCAAAAAATACACAATAATAAAACCTCATTAAAATCGGTTACGCGGTTTAGAAAATTAGTGTAAATGTACGTCGTGACATGACATTTTCAGCCGACTTCAAAAAGACAGAGGTTCTCAAATCGGCGATATTTATTTTTACGTTTGTTAATTCATAACTCCGTTATTGTAAAGTAGAATATATTTACAGATTGGTACTATAGAAATTATCAAAATACGTTCAGTTTATAAATCAAAATAACTGGATTATACCACGATTGAAGTCAGTTTTCTTCTAGCACATAAACTTAAATTGTGTATGTACATTATGTACATAAATTATTTACTTATTAATATTTTTGTTAAGTGCCAGTAAGTAATATTGTACAAAGCTAAAATAATTGCGTGCCACAATCTCCTTGTGTTCCTGCCGTTAAACAGTTGTACTTGCATTGCTGTATTTCAATTTAATGGATGAAATATGGTAATGACGTTTTCATTACGAAGGCATAACAATTTTGTCCTCGGTAATAGCAACACATTATGGGTACCACGGGAAAAAGGGTATTTTGTGACATCAATGGTGTTGTTCTATGCCTATAGACAGTCAGCTTAATTGGGGGGAAAGAGATTGTTAGTAATGGAAACTAAGAATCCCATTGCTAGCAATATACCCAACCAGGTCGACCTCCTCGCAGTTCCTCCTGAAAACTATCATGGTTAATTCCTGATGAATTCATCATGGTGGGCTGACTGGCCTGTTTTCATTCTCATCGATCACCCTTCACTGGTGCTCCGCCAGCTTATCCCGTAAGCGCAGGCGGGGTTACCATACCATTTTTACACAATAAAAAAAAACTGACTTGCCTTATCATTCTCACCTATCATCCCTCACTGGTGCTCCGTCAGCGTATCCCGTTAGCGCAGGCGGGGTTACCATACCATTTTCACCCATAAAAAAAAGTCAGCTTAATTGCTTATCAGCAAAAAATAAACTGTTTAAAAAATGTAAATTCCGGTACAAATACCAGAACTTAGCATTTCATAGCAGACCTACACATATTGGACTAACTTATTCGTGGGTAATACCATTCGTGGAGATGTTTTTTTAATGAGCGACAATGAAATGGTGACCTCGCCTGCGCTAACGGTATACTGTGGCGAGGCACCAGTGAGGGATAATAGGTGAGAATGAAAAGGCACGCCAGTTAATTTATCGTGATAAATTCACCTGGATCAGCACAATGGTTTCCAGACAGGGCCACGTGGAGGTCGACATTACTAACAACCCCCCCCCCCATATTTGACGAATTCCACTAGAATTAACTACAATGGTTTCCAGGGGAAACCACGTGGAGATCAACCTGACAGGGTATATTGCTAGCAATGTAATGGGTCAGTTAGACCCCATTACTAATAATATTGGAGGGAGACTTTGTACAAAAGTCGATTGCTTGGGTACCTCTGTCCCATTCGTGTTTCAACCGTGAAGCAGTTGTGTTTGCATGGCTGGGTTTCGGTTTGAAGGGTGGGATATGGCGTGAATTTACAGGATACAGAGGAATAACACCTGAGTCCTCAGGAATGGCAACGCATGGGGGGTATCATGGGCGAAACAGTATACTCTGTTATGTCCATGGTACTGCTCATGTCTATAGGCGACGGTTACCACTTTCCATCAGGTGGGCCGTCAGCTTGTTTGCCATTCTAAGTTGTATGAAAAAAAAATCCCTTTCCCCCAATTCGTGGAGGTCGTCACACTCACCATAGTTTTTAACTAGTTTCGCTTGCGCTATTGTGATGCTTAATCTCGCCGTGTAAGGCGTCCCGACGCCAGGCAGTTGCTGTAAATAAATAATAAACCAATTTTATGTATACTTACATTAATCATCGCCACTCATGTTCACGGGTCGTAATTCCCACACGCATACAATATGCATTAGTATGTTAACACCATTACACTGGTATCTACATTTTACTTGGCATAATTAGAAAATAACCTTAGCATGTCTTCTATCGAATTTAAAAATTTACATACATACATCTGTATATCTGGCATGGTTGTCTCCCAATAGGGTAAGCAAAAACAATGGAACGCGCCAAATGCTTCGATATAAACCTCTTTCGCTTTAAAAGTTTAACAGACAAAAACAAAAATATAATAAACACGTAATAAAAAAAACTTTATTACACGATAAACATACATTTGTACATAATACACATTTGGAATTTATTAATAAAAACTATATACAGTTAAAGTGCTATATTCGCGGTGTATGCGTTTCGTAAATATGCCGCGAATACAGAAACCGTGAATATAGAAAGCCGAACCACTTATACAGCGGTGACAGCATTTGACAACATACTTTAGGCATAGTTGTAATAAGGTGTGTTTTACTTTTTTATTAGTCTATGTGCCGACGTTATACCGAATCCATTTTAATAATATGTACCGATTAGATCCGGAAATAAAAAAAATGTTTAGCCGCGAATATAGGTATCGGGTCGCAATATTTTATTCCGCGAATAGTGAAAATGAAGCGTGAATGAAGCACTTATTGTATCTAAATATATTTTTTTAAATAAAGCAAAGCATAAGAGTATATTATTTTTTAAACTTATAATAATTTTTGACGACTTCTATAAAATGATTGTGTATATATATATATATATATATACATACTACTATAGTGTATATATATATATATATACTATACTGGTGAAAAAAAAAAATAAAGAACTTAAAAAATGGGTATGGTTACATACTGCAGTGCCAGATAGTTGCTGCTGCAATGCAAGAGCAGCCTGGTAATCAGCATCAACTGTCTCTGTTGCACCGTCAGTACGAAGGAAGCCTGCTGGGAGTGGTCCAAGCAGTACCTGTAAATAAGATAATATTTTTGTAATGGCCCATTGGTAAATGTCAAAAAAAAAAACTTTTTAGTGGTCCACTCCTCCTCAGAGAGTATTAAAATGGAGATCTTCAAAAACATGAATATATAGAAAATATACAATAAATGTGTCACAGATTAAGTAATTAAATAACCCTGGTACTACATGATAATAATGAATTAATAATTAGTATACTTTTTTTTAATTATAGATAATTTTCATATAATAAAATTGTAACTGGACCATGTATGCAAATGAAAGATATTTAAGAAAAATCAATAAGAAGGGTCTTATAAATATGGGGTCTTTATAAAATCAATAGATGCCAAAACAATAATTTGTAGAAAAATTTTTGTTTGTGTTTGTACTAGTGTCATTCAAAAACTATAATACCTAATTGGTTACAGTTTTGTTCCTGGTTTAACTTAAAATCTGGTATGTTTCATCTTCAAGAAGTTGGTCAATTTAATTAGTAACATATAAAAGAACATAAGCAATGAATGCAGATACATAATGATGAAGATGATTGACATGACTAAGCATATAACTATGACTTTGCAATACTAATAAGTTCTAAAACAAACAATGTCGCATCATAATAAAAAGTATATAAAATAATATGCATTAAAAGCAAGACTGTTTTTGTATGTTTGTTTGTTTATAATAGATTAACACAAAAACTACTCAACTGATTTTCAATATTTTTACTTATAGAAAGCTACATTGTCAGTAAGTAAAATAGGCTATATATTATTTACAAAATAATGCAGCCCACAGTATCAAAAACTTGACTATTAAAGCCAATATAAATTACTAATTTATCTTTGTCTGTCTACCCATGCAAAGTTGGAGTGGATCCCTAGTCTTAACAAAATGACTTATTGCTTTTTGTATTTCTGTGAACTGGAATTGCAATAGATATATACATATATTATCAAAATGTATATACATCAACATTACATTGGCATATTGATTAGTATTGTTTTTATAAATTACAATTAAAACTGTTTCAAAATATTATAAAAAAAAAAATCAGTAATCAAAGGACAAAGCATGACCGAAGTAATATATTGACAATGTATCTAGACATTATATTTTTAAAATTCCCCTATGTTTGATTATAAATATTTACTAGCAAATAAAAATGATTATTTGCAAAAGTTGTTAAAATAAATTGTACATTTTTGAATTAATACTAAAAATAAATTGTAATGGACGAACCATGTAAAGCACTCAACAATTTCTTTAACTTGCAGCAGCATGTAATATATGCTTTATTTTTATAATAATATAATATTTTTTTAAAATAATTTTTTTGGAAGTTTTATCTATATATGTGAAGTCGGGTTGGATCTCTAACAATAAGAGTGAGTTAGAGTATATGCACCTCCACTTTTTATTCTCAAATTTGATGATTAATAATGTAAATCCCTATAGAAATAATTCATAAGTACTTTTACAATTGCAATTCGCAAATATGAGAAAACAGCTACTGTATCTAAGGTAAAGGAAACGCTTTAGTTTTATCACAATAAAATATTTTAATTAGGTATATATTGGTTAAACTTAAATTAATATAAATTATGTATTTTAATGATAATTATAAGACTTTCATATCGAAAATGAAACCGGTCACGTTCTGTAGGTGTTCATAGACAGGTAAGGGGAATACATCACAACAAGCATGAATCACTAAACTTGTCTAAGTATACCGCAAATGGTTTTATTTAGATAATAACTCACCCTACGACGGCGCTCCTCATTTCTATCATCAGACAATGTTGAAGTCATAGCTATTTATTTAAACACTTTACAATATACTTCAAATTAAATGTTTCTAGAATGAGGTATATTATTGAATATATAAATCAAATCACCGTCAACAGAGAATGTATATTATGAGGTTTGTACGCGAACAAAACAATGAAAAGCAAGAATGACTTTTTGTAGTTAACTTGTGACTGATTGATTGACAATTAATTGTCCAACTGCATGCCAAAAGCATGACGTAGTAATATAGATTGAGGATAATACCAAAAAACACTACATGGCGCTACAAAAAGAATATTTAGCATTAATAACAAATTAAACCAAAAATTTTATCCGCAGCTTCTATTTCAATGAAAAAATTTAACAGAGGCGCCAAGCTGGTATGTCAAGGCCGATAGCGGTTGTTTGATTATTCTGCTTTAGCATCTGTGGTTCGCAAATTCAAAACTTGTCTGCTCTCATAGATTATGGATAGTTCTTTTTTTTTTTATTTCTAAATGTACACTTTCCTACGTGTCATTATATATATATCTGGTACTAGCTTAATCTATGTTACATGTTGTCAAAATTAAATGTCAAATCAAACTTCAAAGCAAGTTTTGCTTTGATTTCTTTCTATCTGTTGATGTTGATAATTTTTGCTGTTTTCTGAATCTTGTTAATGTTTTTATTGGTTCATTCAATTATTTTCCTATTCTATGCTCTAGTACCTAAAACTTCTTTTTGTTAATAATCCTAAAGTGTTATAATTTAAGAGACATATGCGAACTTGAAGTGATTTGGTTATTTTATCGATTTGTGTCTGCTTTTACCTGTTTTTGCTATGGATATCATCAAAACTCCTAAGGTATGTATAAATTACTAATTATCACATTTTAAAATATTGATCAAATGCTAATATTGTACAAGAAAATTTTACAGAAATTAGTTTCCACCTACCTCGACAAATTTTTTTGGAAAGTATACGGCACGTGTATTGTTCTTTTTTCGCAAATATTTCGTACTACTTTCAAAAGAACTTAACTAACTTAATTTGCTAAATGTTATGAATTTGTATAGTACACAATATTTTTTTATTTCTTAAAATATAATTTTATTTTAAACCTATTACTTATTTCTTTCCTCTAAGTGTGTTTACTACATCTATGCATGCTTATATATATGCAAGTATTGTTGCCAAATAAAATATGCATTAAAAATTAATATGTTGTTATTACATTACTGTTTGATTGAAAACTTCAATATCTAGTTTGTTCTTCAAATTTGTTAAAAAAAAAAAAATGTAAAAGTTATAGCTACTACTCTTTACTAATATATATTATAAATGTAAACATGAGTTTGTGAAATTTAATATACACATACTCTATGGGATGGAGAAGGATATAAGCTACTTATTATCTTTGTTAGGGAATCATGAATGAATAAATGGTTTATTTTTCTCTTTACAAAAGTAGTAAAAAGTAAAATAGATGCTGATGAGGTACAATAAAATGTGTAAGACCACATTTTGTCATTGTGAACCAGCACTCTTTTTGTTTTGTATTTTGACACATTTTTTTACTTAATGTATAAATGGACATACATAAAAAAAATATATGGTGGAACATAGAACCTCTTTTTTTTACAATATGCAAATGTAAAATCCATAAATGATTAGTAATCTAATAAGAGATGAATCTGGTATGGGGTATCTGTTGAGGTAAATATTTTGACATACTTGAGATCACTTGTGATTTTTTTTATATTCACACAATTTCACTACTTACAAGTATATGTTAAAAACAAATGTGGTTTCGCATTTAGTCTCTTGAATGCAAGAGATTTACTGACTCATTCATTTCATATTTGCACAAAGTTATCACATATAAGTACTCCCTATTTGGACAACCACCATATTTGAGAATATTATCAGGTTAGAGACCAGCCATGAAGTTAAAATAACCATCAATTGCAATTGAATAATTATTCTTGAATGGCAAACTATACAGGCAAATATAGTGTAGTTTGTACTCCGAACGAAATGGTGGAATAGCCTGAGTGAATTACTGAGAGCCAATGGATGCAAGTATAGTTTAGGGATGTTCCTGATGGTGGTCTATATTCAGCAGTTGACAGTTAAAGGATGAATTTTGTTTAATATAATTTTACCAGGTGTTATGTGGTTAAATATAACTTAAGAGAGTTTCTCCTCTAACTTTAAGAGTATGCAGTTAAACCAGTATTTATATCTAAGAGTTTGCTCATCAGTAATAATTTGAAATTGTATTATACCAAAAAAAAAATAGACTAAAAATGAGAATCGGTTTATAAAAATGGTATGGTTATGATTAAAAGAGGCTTAGATGTATGTAATATATGCATGTGATTATTTGCATACATAACAATTATATTAACATGAGCATTTTTTATTACATATACATCTTGTGCCAATAGCTTCCATCTTTTTCTTTTCTCCTCTACAAAAAGGTTGTCTGGAAGAGATTGGTTTAATGACTAGACCACTTTTGTACTTTATAAGTGTACCATTTATATATTTTGTATTATTCTTTAAGTGGTGCAATAAAAAGTGAATAAATAAATAAAATCTTTTAATACACAGTCGGTTTAAATATTACTGTTGGAGCACAGTTTTCCTAAGGAAAATAAGATTACTGAAGTTTCTTTGAAGTCAAAGTTCTCAGTCTGAAGTTTTAGCTTTGCATAAATAATTCTTAAACATGTTTTAAGAGCAAAAAGTATCACCCTTTCCAATCCTTAATTCATTCTAATAAAAAAAGGGCTAGGAGAAAGTGAAGCAACAAGACAAATGAATGTATCAATCATATTATCTATGGTTTCCCAATGATGGGCAAAGGCTAATATGTCAAAAATGAAAATGAATGTATCAGAGTTTAAAAAATGTGTGTATAGTTACTCTCCTGACTCTGTACTTAATTTCAATGAAGACAACTTTTCGCGAAATCGCAAATCAAGCTTCTAAATTATAAGGAATCAAATTGAGTACCTTGTATATTTTTTATCGGGTATTGGCTTTTATTTATATAGATTACAAAAGCCTATAAAATCAGGACTACATTTGCAATTTTTGCTGTAACCTAGATGTTCCGGCTTCTCCAGAGGTGCTTGAATTATGTATATATAACTATATAAATATACGACGACTGTTCCTTTACGGATAACAGTCGTGAATATATTATTATTTGCGTATTTTTGTCGTACGGCCACTTAGACACTCTATTTTCCGAATCTAAATAGATTAGAACTATCAACATAAAATTTTTATTTTAGAAATCTAAAATAAAAAAAATATTTTGATAGTTTAGCGAATGCACCATCATGAACCAAAATTGAAGTAGTTTTATCTAAGAATAATAGTGAATTATGAATTAAATTCACTTCACACAATCCTTAGTGCTAAGATTTCGCTGTGGCGTAAAATTGAACTTTTAGGATTAATCTCACTGTTGACTGAAAGAAGATAAATGATAGACGAAAACGAAATAATAATTTAAGGTCTCTCGAATATAATCGAAAGGGTATATTGGGATTTTGCATCGAATAGGAAAGTGCGATTAAGATGTGGAAATTGCTTTTAAAATGTGATTCCCAAATTGTAAATACGCATTAATGTATGTTGCAATGTATATATACAAATAAGTGCATTCGACCGGGACCATATTGATTGACCGAGATAAAGGAGTCCTATGTGCTTCTCTTATATTAAATACTATTATACTTGTACGCGATGCTGACCTTAGAAGGAGGGCTAGGTTCGGCGGCACCCCGAAGAATCCCAAGAGTAGCCAGGAGGAAAGATAAGGATTATTAGTAAGAGATATTAACAATCTCATTCTTATCAATCGCCTTCTGAAAATCACCGTAGTTATTTCCTAATAAATTTCTCAAAGAATGCACGACGACGTGGTATTGATTGTGGTTAAAATGATAGTTTTGATGGGACTGTCTCTCCAATAGAATCTTTCGTCAAATGAAGACTCAGTATCTCAATCGTGGTGGATGAGTTTACTGATAACCCTGCCGACTCACTATTCACCTGACCTTCTTTGCCATTTGGACGCCATCAAGTACTTTGCCAGAGGGCTTGCATGCTACATTTCTTGACAATTAGCTCAGTTGTTAAATATTCTGTTGCTTAAACAATCGACAAACAAACGAACATTGCTTGTTTTTCACTTTCACATCCTATCTTGCTAATAAAATTCTAACTAGATGATGACTGTACATAGAAGATATTTAAATATATTAAATATATATTATAGACAAATTATTCTGGGGGGTCTTAATAAGAGTAATAGAAGCCAAAACGAAAGTTTTTCGAAATTTTGTCTGATGTCCGTATGTTAGTTTCAGCATGACGCAAAATCTACTAAATTGGATGCAGTTTTTATAATTATATTCCTGTAGGTCTAACTTAAAATATATGTTTGATCTTGATACGCCATCTAGATATGACCTATTTTATTGGTTTTTCTACATCTGAAATTTACCCGTACAAAGTAGCGAGAAAAAAGATACTTTGTAATATTAGTAATTAAATTTATAATATTGGTAATTAATAACTGTATCAGAGGTCAACTTTGTACAAATTTGTCCTCTTCGAGCCTCTTCGTACCTCTGTTTATCACTTTAACTGCTAATTCAAATTAGATGTTGCCATTGCTTACATTGTTTCGTTTCCAAGGTTAGGAAATGGCAGTGGAATTACTGCATTCTGTGACTCAAGATTTTCATGTTGCAAGGGCCGGCAATATACGAACGATGCCCCGTATTTCGCAAGCATTCATGGGTTACGCTCTCGTTGCTTAGGATCATATATTGATTGCAGCAATCGTTGTATAAAAAAATGTATCTGACTGAATTGGCTATGAAAGATAGGCTAATTGATGGCGGACTTAAAGAATCTACCAAGGTTTCTCGTGTAACAGTATCCGATCCATATTAATTACAGAAGATGTTCAGCATTAGTGATTTCCAAATACCGATAAGTAACTCCATAATAAATTATATGTACATGTAATAACATAGATTTGGCCGATATTACGTCACAAATGCACGTGTGTTCTTCATTACGAATCGAAGTTTGCCTTTGGAAATAAAACTATCTCTGTCTCCTATATCCCAATTCAGATGCGCTTTCTCACTTTCACGCGCATGCTCACTGAAGGAAAATTCTTGCCCCTTGGCATTTTAAACTGGCACTTAATTGAAGACAATAAAGTGTAACATCGTTCGATGCTCGGGTTTCAGGTTCAAACTTGGGAATATTTCGACGATAAGGTCGAGAATTCGAGACTGTATCAGTCGCGAACGCGACGTCCTCCAGTTTAGGCGTATTTTCAAGTGATAATTTCTGTGGCCCATCGTTTATATGCCGGTCAAATTAATTGGAAAAGTTTTGCTAAATTTGGTCCATCATTCGTTCATTTTTAGGAACAACTGTCAGAGTTTTCATTTATTTTTCGTATAAATTACGTGGTTGTAATTTTGGGAAATTTGGTTATTAAATTATGTTCTGAGTTCCGATACAACTTGAACTTATTTGTAAAGTATTATCAATGACAACTTGAAAGAAGTATTTTTGGAGATGGCGATGACATTAAGTTCGTTGTCACCGTCGAACATGCTCGGCGAGCTCGGTCGCTTAGCAAGTTGGCTGAAAGGCGACTGCCTTGCGCCTGAAGAGTATGCTGGTTTGGCGGTCACCGAAAAGGTGAGAATTATGTCTAATTTCTTTTTTAAGTTTTGAGGCCACACTGCATTCAGTAAATTACTTTTTTTAAGTCACAAAAAGCATAAGTGAAAGATAAAAAGTTTCTTACTTTGATTTTTTTACTTTTTTACCGACGAAAAAATCTCCGTTAAGTCAAAGAAAGCGTCTCGGCAGAAAATTTATTTTAGTCTCTTCAATAAAGAATAGCTTTTCTTCAGAGATAACCTGAAATGTCCTCGGGAAAGCGTAGGTACTCCTTTATAGCGTGAGTTCTTAACACATGGATATTTTGTTACACCTAGCATGCTCATTTCACCACTACGTCTCTAATATAGGCCTCATTTTCCATCGCTTCTACCATATTTTTTCATTCATTTGACTGCTGAGTTAACGAGATCATACCTGCAGGAACACGCTCAAATTCTTTAGCTTATTTTCTAACATGTCTGTTGAGTTCCCCCATATGAGAAAATATTCTATTTATGAAGGAACTACTTATTTGTAACTTATATTTTGCTTTTGGATTATTCAAATACTATCTTGAAAATAAAGACCGAATATTCGAATATTAAAATAATCGAATATTAGTTAGACCTATATGTGATAAAGGTGATTGAATATCTATCTATGTATGTTTATCAGTTCGATTACTTATTGATATATGTGTCTATCAATTGTCTTAATAATACTAGCTCTGATTAATTTTAAATTACATGGTGCAATGTGATATCATGGTTGTAATGATCATCTCAGGCAATGATGATCTTCTCTGAAATCTCTGATCTCTGAAATCTGAAAATTGCTCTTTTTATTTTATATTTATTTTAATTATTATTTTCACGTACCCTCAAAAAGCTGAACATCAGTGTTTTGTTCCTTGAACAATGTTCCACGCTGAGCTTCGACCTTTTTGTATTGCAGCAGATCACACATAATAACACAATTTTATAAATCTTATGTTGTTTTATGTATTATCTATTCTTATGAACATGTTGTGTGTGATTAGTAACAAACAAATAAACGATATATATATCTATCTATCTATCTCAGCCATTATCCGCCCACTGCTGAACATAGGCCTTCTTCGTAGACTGTAAAGCGATAAGTCTAGGACTAATTATTATTTAATTATATGCGTTTGTATATTCAGTTATTGATTATATGGACATTAGGTTATAACAAAAATGTACATAGACAGACTTACCCCTTAAAAAGATTTCTTTCAGTCAACTTTAAGAAAAGAGAAATAACAAAGTATTTATAGGACTTCTATATAAAGCATAATATATATGGTGCAAAAAATATATTGAATTTATTTAAATAAATATACTTTTAGAATATCCAACTACAACTAATGGTACAAGATTTTAGATACAAAAGAAGTTTAAAATATTTTTGTGCGCATATTTAAAGCAATTGACAGCATGTATCCAAACGAATAGTTAGGTTCGGCAGGATTTTCTTCTGTCTATCGTATTATTTCTGTCTCTATTGCGTTGTTCGTATATTTCGTAAAACATTTTACTATTGTCCTAATTGCAGAATCATTACATTATGTTTTTTGGGTATTTGCATCTACCCTATAATACTATTCAAATACTGACTATAAATTCAAGTTTTTCATTACCAGATATGTGTTGAAGTTTTAATACTGGCTGTTGACACTGAGGTTTTTTAGAACAATGTATTATTCTTATTTGTTCTATGTCAGATTTTTATAAGACATGTCTCGTATTTTTTTCAATAAACTTATTATTTTATATCTCAAATACATGTTATATCTAAATATATGTTTTATTACCGCATCCTGCTATTTACAACAATATGATCTGTATTAAGATATTATCTATACTAGAGGTGTTGACGTCGTTTTCAATAGAATCATTAATAATGTAAAAATTTACACCCTCTTTTTATTTTAAATTACTCTACTTTTTATTTTAAACTACTCTCTTCGTAACTGTATCCGCCGCTTCACTACATTAATCTTATAACAGACAATATTCTGTTTGATGTTTCTTTCTTGCAACATTTACTCGAATATATCCAAAATCCATTCGCTAAAAATATTTGTTCATTTAGATTAAACTACAATAGCGTAGTAGTCTTTATATGCTTGCAAATATTGGATTTGTCGGGGTTATTCCGTTTGTGTATTATTTATGTATAAAAAATAAAGTATTACTTATTTGGGTCAAATTTCGTCGTCAGCATGTTGAATTTACTTATGTCAAGATTTTACCGTGTGGTTCCGGCATAGAATGAGCCATTCTTTACTTTCCCGCGGGTGTCGTAAGAGACGATGTCAATGGTCGAGGGATGGGCAGCTGCGTCCGTTTTTAAACATCACCAAAGCCTAACTGCGGTTGCTAACCTGCCTGCCAAGTGTGTCAACTACTGGCAAAACTCCTCTTTGGAGGAGTTCTATGTTCAGCAGCGGACAGTTAACGGCTGATATAATAATTATGTCAAATTTATTTTTTTATTTTTCAATGTCGAAAAATTATACAATTATGCGTTGATTAAAAACTGGAGCTATATTGTTTTGAATACATTAATAATAATAATAATAGAAAACATCTCTGAAACCGCGTTATACGCGAACATTTAGGCTGTAGGGTATAAGGGTGAACTCCCTGTCGATGGCGAGCCGTACGATGATAGAAACTGGTCGTAGGCATCATATTAAATAAGTTGAGTCTATAAATGTTGTTGTAAACGTATTGCCAAAATTAATATTTATTAAAGAAAATACAGTAATATCGGCTGACGAAAATCAATGGTAAAGGAAAATATACATCAAAAACTCTAAGTAATGGTATAATGAATAATCTATAACATCTCGAAACTTCTATGATAACCATTATAGATCAAACGATGAGAATCACACATATTCCATAACTCTATAGAATTTTATATACACGTACAGTTTACGCATTGGGAACATGAGCTTTTACTTGCTGGCCAATTAATATAGTATTAGTTCTTCAGAGAACGATTTACAACTATGAATACACAAAAATTCAAAATTAATTTGAGTTTGAATTAATGTCTCGGAGTCAAATTCTCAATTAAGTGCACGGTTAAATTAATTTAAGAATAAGAAGTGCCATGTAATCCCATAAATTGCCTGAACCTGAAACTGGTATAGCCTGGGATGAGGATTGAGGATTTTTGTCTTAAATAAATTAGGAACTTTTGTCCATTCATTAATCCCGTCGTACCTTAATAAATTTTAAAAAGCTACATAATGAGGTTTATTCTAATAAACAAAAGAAAACTCAATAAAGGCTGAGCTTAATAAAGATATTTTAGGCCTTAGTACGTCTATAATACTTTACAATGTATATAAGAAACCAGAGTATTTTGATTCCGAGTTAATGTAAAAAGGTTGAGATGTTGATCAGGGTTTGATCATGGACCTCGAAAGTAATTCATTCTTTTTCTTTTCATCATCTTGCTGTAGTTATATAATATTAAATGATATAACGAAAGAATTGTTTAAAATATTTTCTTTCCCTTTTTTTTCATCTAAAAACTTGCCTTTCTGTTTCCAGTGTAAATATTTATTTTGTTATTCGACGAAACTGTCGTCTTAATTGTATTTCAATATAAAATTCGTTTGAGTCAAACTTAAAATAAACTGTTCCTAAAATGGATGATAGTTGGAAATTCTTCGCTTGTTATTTGATTTGAATTATTTTGTTCAATTCCGCTACCATCACGTGTGTGACTGCCAACACTCGAAGACTGATCACCATTATTATTACCAAGAGCTCCACAACCTTCCATATTAGCCATCTACCTCCGTCACGCACGTTTTGCTACACGTGTTTCATCTTTAAACGAGGCATCTTCAGGCAAATTATTAGGTCGCTGCTCGGAGGCAAGTGTTAACTGTTCGGCAGCCAAATTGCGAAATTTTTTAATAAAAAAGAAATCTATTAATTCAATTTACGTTTAAGACAATAGATCTTCCTTACAAACTGCATAGATAAAGTAAACATATGCCCCTGTCGATATTAGTTACATAGTGCGGTATTATTCCGATCACGGTCCACGTGTAATGCTGCGGAAATTGTGAAACACGACCGTAGCTTCAGCTTTTTCGAAGGTCAGTTTTTACATGTTGGGAATGCAGTATTAAGTTTACTGAATAATTGAAGCCGTGGAGTTGAAATAAAAATATACTTTCGTTAAATGTTTATTATTATTATTAATAAATAAATAAAAAAAAAAACTGCACGTGACTATTAACATTTGAGGATTTTACTTAGTAGACTTTACTTACTTAGTAGAGTAGGCATAGTTGCACGTATAGTAATGATAATGGTATTAAAACAAGTAATTCTAAACAACTAACCAGTTATATGGACTTCGGCAAAATAATACTTAATGAATTAAAAAATATACAACCTTTTAAAATAATCCTTACTGATAATGTAGCATGATAATGATAGCATGTAAAACGAAAAAGTTATAGGTGAACCTTATTAAATAAATAAAATTAAAATTAAATATTATAAATGTTAAAGCTAGTTTATTTGTTACCTTATAACGCCTTAACGACTGAACCAATCACTATAAAGCTTAGTGTGGACGTACTAAATGGGATGGGGAAGGACAGAGGGTAATGTATTCGCGGCCAGTAAATATACCCTGGTTACGTGGACGAAGTCGCGGGTAAAAGCTAGTAGTTTATAATAACAATACGAGTAAATTCTAACAATGCCAAAACCATATATACATCAATCCATCAATTTTTCTACGACACCTTTTCCAGCTGTGGTGAATATGATGATATTTCCTTTCATGTTTGTGTCATATTCATATTGTTTATGTTATGTTTTTGTTTATTTTTTCGATTTTCTTATTTTTGTAAATTTTTTTTTAGAAATTTAACAAATTTTGTTTAACTATTTAGGTATATCAGTAATTAAAAGAATACGTATGTAGCTATCGATCTTAAGTTCTTTGTTTTCTTAATTAAAAACATGTTT